CTGCCTTGGAGCCAGCTGGTTATGGACTGAAACCTCCACAAACAGAGCTAAATAAACCAAACCTTTCCTTCCTCATTGTAGGTGTCAGGTATTTTGTTCCAGCAGCCAGAGAAAAGAAACCAAGACATGCTATTACTTAATTTGTACTTACTTCTCTCTCTACACTGTTTGTTTTTTCCTTGCTTTAATTCTAAGTTGTTTAACAACATATTTTGTTTATTATATTTCAATATTGCTAAAACTATGTATTAAGATTTTACTGAATTTAGGGCTGGGGGTTTAGCTCAGCAGTGTAAGTGCCTGCATCCCAAACTCAAGGTCATGAGTTCGATCCCAGACATTAAAAAAAATTTCCTGCATTTCTTCTTTAATAAAAGAAACCAATACAAAATAGAATCTGAGACAGCTGGATTTAGTTAAACACCAGAACTAACTAGTTGGGGTAAGCCTTGATTTTCTTAAGGAACTGTTACATCTTATGCAGCTAGATTTGAACTGAGCTTCTAAACTTATCTACTGTGGAGAATAAAATGGAGATGTCATTGGTTTTGACTTTATTTATAACTGAGTTGATTTCCTAGAGCAGCAGCATGGAATCCTGATCCTCTCAAAAAAAGGTGCACAATGAGAAAACAAGAAGGGTGGTGGGTGGTTGGATGGCGGGTGGGTGGATGGAGGGGTGGATGGATGGAGGGTGGGTGGATGGAGGGGTGGGTGGATGAGTGGGTGGGTGGATGGAGGGTGGGTGGATGAGTGGGTGGGTGGCTGGAGGGTGGGTGGATGGAGGGTGGGTGGATGGAGGGGGGGATGGATGGAGGGTGGGTGGATGAGTTGGGTGGGTGGATGGAGGGGTGGATGGATGGAGGGTGGGTGGATGAGTTGGGTGGGTGGATGGAGGGGTGGATGGATGGAGGGTGGGTGGATGGAGGGTGGGTGGATGAGTGGGTGGGTGGATGGAGGGTGGGTGGATGAGTTGGGTGGGTGGATGGAGGGTGGGTGGATGAGTGGGTGGGTGGATGGAGGGTGGGTGGATGGAATGTGAGTGGATGGATACACAGATGGAGAGGTGATTAGTGAATTGAGGCCATCAAGGTTGGCAGTTATAACTGACATATACTGACTTACCCTTGTCATGTTACTTTCCTGTTGGTGGTTTCATTTTTTTTCTCCTCTGTTTAATTGTTTGCCTTGCCTGGTGGGTTCCTTCTGTTGGGGTTCATGGAGTTGTAATCCTTGTTATCTCTTTCTAGAATGTCCTTCAGAGCATTGTGGAGTGCTGGTTTATTGATCATGAATTTCCTCTGGGTCTCTGTGTTATGGAAGTATCTTATTTCTCAATTTTGAAACACAGTTTTGAGGGGTACATCAATATGGGTCAAAGGTTCTTTTCTTTTAGGGCTTGTAATACTTGACTCCACACTCTCCTTGACTTGAGGGATTGTTTAAGAAGTTTGCTGTGATTCTGATGGGCTTTCTTTATAGGTGATCTGTTTCTTTTCTCTAACAGCTTTTAATATTCTGTCCTTGTGTTGAATTTCTGGAATGTTGATTATTATATGCCTTAGTGCGATTTTTTTTTATCCCAGCTAATTGGACGGATGGATGGATGAACAGATGGATGGATGGACAGACACACAGACAAGGTGATTTGTGATGAAGGCAGTTTCCTTACTCAGGCAAACCTTTCCTTGTTGCTTCCCCAGAGGACACAGCATGGCCCTTTTGTTACTAGCTGTTAGAATTTCCAGGAGAGCAGTATTGGCAAATCTATGGCAGGCATAGTGGATTGAAGGGACTAAAAGTTTTTGTTATTTCTAGTAGAAGCCCCTAAAAAACATATCCCAAAATGTTCAAGAACTTCATCCAAACTACTGTGAAGCATGGTGTGCAATTAAGTTGTTATGTCATAATTATAGCATAATTGCTGGGCTCATTTTCTTGAGCTTACAATGTTCCTGGGAAATAAACCTCTTGAAAGAGGAAAAATACCCTGTGGCTTGTTTCCCACTGTGGGCACACGGAGCCCTCTCACCGACATGTGAGCCAGGTATGTGAGTTGCTCTTTCTAAACTAAAACCTCAGTATTCATGTTTAACTGCAGTGTTGGCACTTTGCAATAAATAAGGAGGCTCAGGGATGCAGTTTTGGTGCTCAATCTGTAGAAGATTCATCATCACTGCAGCAGGAGGACCTCTGGGACACAGCTGTTGTGGCTGTACACAAAAAACAAACTCACGGAGAAAGAAATTAGGAAACCCAGTTTCACAATAGCATCCAAAAAAGTGAAATACCTAGGAATCAGTCTGACAAAGGAAGTAATAAGACCTCTACGATCTAGAACACGTAAAAAAAAAAAGCATATTAACCACTGTTTGTATACTTTCTCCAATTATGTTCCTTTAATTCTTTCATTTAGAACACAGTTTACATTATAATAGCCGGCATCACTTCGTTTTTAAAACAATTCTTTATCTGTGCATTGCCAAATTACAGGTCTGCATGATATTAATCATGAGTGAAGATGACTCAAGCACCCAGTGAGCTGGGCACAGTGTAACCCCACATACCTGTAACCCCAGCACTTGGAAGGCTGAGCAGGTGGATTGCCATGAGTTGAAGACCAGCCTGGGCTACACAGTTAATTCAAGGCTGGTCCGAATTATATAGCAAGACCCTGTCTTGAAACAAAAACAAAACAAAAAGTGCTTAGAGAGGGAATTTGCCCGGGAAGTCTGCAGACATGAGGGTGCACAATGGAGTGACACACGTGGAATCTTCCCTCCAGGACCTTTGGAGGCAGAGGACTGTTCTAGGACTTGGAAAGCCTGGGCTGTGTGAGCCCCCCAGGCTCCTGCCTCCTCACAGCTTTCCCCACCTCCATTCCCTGCCCAGAGGAGTGGACCCAGGTTCTATGGCTGGCATAACCTCTGACTCAGAGCAGGCCTGCAAGGGAAATAAGAGTCCAGTTAGATGGAGAGAAGACGAGAAGAGGATCAAGGAGTCACTCAACATGCCTGAAAACAGCAACCAGGAGACAGAGAAGAAAGCACACAGCTTGGAGCATGACCAGTGCTGTGATAGCCCAGGACAAGAATTTGAGGCCACACAGCAAGACAAAGGCCAGGCCAGCACTTGGGAGACCAGACAGCCCCAGAGGGAACGTGTGCTGGAGGAAGCGAGGCAGGCTTCTCATGTCAGGGGCTGGGCCCCAGGCAGGTGTTGGGAAGTGGGGCTGTGGCAGGGTTCTTGAGTCACTGGGGACATTGCCCAAAGGTCACATGGGGGCCACAGCAAGTAAATGTCCTGTTGTGGGGAGCTGTGTCCCCAGCCCGAGGCCTGTAGTGGGCAGGAAGCCCTGAGTGCTGAAGGAGGGATGTAGAAACATCCTGCTTGAGTTTTCTCTTAACCTACAACCACTTTAGGAATAAAATGTTAGTTTTTGATTCAGAGGAAAAGGCCTGGCCCACTGTGCTGTTCCCACCAACCGTGGGCTCTGCCTGGACACAGCGTTGCTGCCTTGGACAGCGTCTCGGCTCTGGTTCAAGCCGCCAAGCTCCAGCAGCCTTTCAACAGGGATCTGAACAAAAACAGGGGAAACAATATGGCAAATATATGGGATTTCCTTCTGTCTTGTTTTTGAAATCCAATATTGCTCTCATTGTTTTGATTTACTGTTTTGTATTATTCAATGCTCTGTTTTGATTGGTTTTATTCTGTTATGTTTTGTTTGACTTTATCTGACAGTATGGACAACTACTGTGAAGACAACAAGAGGGGGCATTGTGGCAGCTGTTGTTGATTTCCTGTGGTCCTGCCTTGAAGCTCTGTACAACTTTCACTGTTTTGTTTTGATTGGCTTCATTCCATTTTATTTTGTTAGGTTTTATTCTCTTTAAAATAAAAATGAAAAATTGTTACCATAAAGGACCCTTGAGAGAACCCAGTGAGTGCCCCTAGAATCCTCCCTGCTGCTTTGCACACACGCATCCCATCATCCTCACCACCTCCTGCAGCAGCTCTGGAGTCATCTTTCCTGAAGGTCTCTGGTTGCATTGTCATTTTGACCCTGGGAAGTGCCAGTCGCATGGGGCCAGATCCAGTGCCTAAGGTGGCTGAGGACACAGTGTCATGTTTTTACTGCCATTTAGTAGTACTTGGCAGGAGCAATTACCATATTTTTTGTTATACCTCGTGCAAACCCTCAGGAAAGAGGACTCCAGAACTGCTCCAGGAAATGGCAAGAATCATGGGACAAGTGTGTTTGAACCATGGGATAAAGGAAGTTTAAAGTATTTTGAGGGGGATTCATTTATGCTTGAGCTCACAGGGATCCTCCTGCCTTACCACCCTGACTGCTGGCATTACAGAGAGGCATCACCACACCCTGCTATGAGTTTTTAAAATGCAGACATTTAATGTCTAGCATTTGACCCTTGTATATCTCTGTACAGTGAAGGGAATCTGGCTGGGGCACCTGTCTATGTTCAAAGTCTGCTCCTTCAGTCCTCGGTTCCAGGGTTCTGATGGGCCTAGGACCAGTGATGGAGGGGAGTCAGGAGGGCTCCAGTCTTCTCCATACCCATTCAGGGGCTTGGTCCTTGGTCCTTGTTATGACTTTAGATCACTTCCTGTCCTGATATCACAGGTCCCTGATAGCATTCATCTCATTTCCTTCTAATGTTGCAGGTCCTGACATCACCCAGCTCACTTCCTGTCCTGATGTCACAGGCCCTGACATCACCCCAGCCCACTTCCTGTCCTGATGTCACAGGTCCTGACATCACCTAGCTCACTTCCTGTCCTGATGCAAAGGTCCTGACATCACCCCAGTTCACTTCCTGTCCTGATATCTCAGGCCTTGACGTCACCCCAGCTCACTTCCTGTCCTGATATCACAGGTCCTGACGTCACCCCAGCCCACTTCCTGTCCTGATGTCACAGGTCCTGATGTCACTCCAGCCCACTTCCTGTTCTGATGTCACAGGTCCTGACATCAACCAGCCCACTTCCTGTCCTGATGTCACAGGTCCTGACGTCACCCCAGCCCACTTCCTGTTCTGATGTCACAGGTCCTGACATCAACCAGCCCACTTCCTGTCCTGATGTCAGGTCCTGACGTCACCCACCTCACTTCCTGTCCTGATATCACAGGCCCTGATGTCACCCCAGCTCACTTCCTGTCTTGATGTCACAGGTTCTAACATTCTACATATCCCGGAGACGGAGGCTGGGGAAGCTGAGCCCTTTTCCTTCAGCTGGAGGGAACATGGTGAGGAGAGGAGAAGGGGCCCACTTCCTTGTCCTCCTGATATACTGCTGGCAAAAAGTGCAGCTCTGGCCAATGGGGACACATTCAGGTACAGACCAAGGGATCACATGGCAGACAGAAAACCGTGGACCTGGGTCAGGTAGGTGACAGCTTCCCTTCGAGTGGCTCTCTGCTGTAGTTTGAAGTTGTTCCTCCCACCGTGGTGGTGGTGCTGGGAGGTGGGGCCCTCGAACGTGGGATGAGGGCCTGGTAGCAGAGAACTCATATGGTATCGGGTCACACCCCCGCCGCCTCCCTCCTAACCAACCCCCTCCTGCCGCCGTGCCATGGACTTGCCCGTGCTCCTCCAGACTTGAGCAGTGGATCACATCTATTCCGCCCCTGGTGAGCCTTGTTAGAGCAACGCACACAGACGAAGACTTCCTCCCTCCCTCCTGGCCCACAGCCCACTGGACATTTGGTCCTGGAGGAATGGACGCTGCACAGAAGTCACTGTCTCTGAAACACCTTTGACCCCAGAATCCATGAGCGCCTGGACTTGGCATTGACGTTGGTGCTGGGTGCCTTGCCCAGCACAGAGGAAGATGGTCCTTACCCTCACACAGTCAGACCAGCAACGATGATCTTGGCACACACATTCGCATCTTGTGCTTTAAGACACACATGGGATTTTCGTTTGGGGAGGATCTCAACGCTACCCAGAGGATGGAAAAGATTTTCCTGCCTGCAGATAAAAGGCCTGTTTTCAATCCATCTGTGGGGCCTACATCACACTCATAGGATATGAAACATTGGTGCACACTTGGGCCAAGTCCCGACCTGCCCCTGCAGTTGGGCGGATGGCCAGGATTAGGACAAGGAGGGCCATGTGCTACCAGCTCCGTCTGTCCCTTCTGTTTCAACTGTGAATGAGGCTGGGACAGCAACCCAACTCCTGGAGAGGCCTGGCAGGGCACACATAGGCAGCTGGATCCTCAGCCCTCATCAGAGGTAGCCTCAAACAGAGGCCCAGGAAGAGACCCTGAGCCACCACTGGAGGGTCCATGGGCTTCTCTCCTGGCCCTTGCCTTCTGAGCAAAAACTTGGACAGGATGCGCAGAAGAGGTCTTGAGGCGCACATTTACTGGGGTGGAAAAGAAGTGCACTCTGCAGGGTGAGAGCAGGTGGGGAACATGCTCAGTGCCCCAGATGAGGCAGAGAGTCCTTGATATCCAGAATCCTGAATTGTCCCCCACTCAGGCAGGTAAGGCTCTAGATGACTGTTCTGGCCCTTGGAAAAGTGGCTTCCTGCTGTATGTAAATGAAAGATGTGGAGAGCATTTGGATTGGCCCTGCCCTTATGCAAATGAGGGTTGAAAAAAAAGCGTCTTCTAATTGGTCCTGCAGACAGCACTGGAGTTCCAAGGAAGGACTGAAAGCAGCATTTTTCTGATTGGCTGTGGGCACAGCAACAATGGTGTCCCCATCACCCTGTGGGGGTGTCCCTCTCCTGAGAGCCTCCTCCCCTGGCTGCCCTGTCTCACTTCAGGGTGAACACAGGGTGAGCTGGATCTGAACCCTTGGGCTCTGGTACCTTCTGGTACCTTCTGGTACCTTGCTCTGGTACCACAGGAGCAGGTTACATGGTGCTGGCTAAGTGGCAAAGCCCACCCCAAGCTGAGCTGGGCCTGGGCGAACAGTCCAGCCTGGCCCTCAGGGTGTGGGAATGGCAAGCGGTCTCCAGAGTGAACGTCGTGGAAAGCTTAACATAGGGTTAGGGTTATAACGCCCCGCTGGTTCGAGGTCACATGGTCCCACAGCACTGAGGTCCAACCAGAGGAAAAAGTTACAGTTTTATTGGTAATAAGGAGAGAGGAGCAGCTCCGGGGTTCCCACAGGGGGTCTGTGTGGAGTGGCCAACGAGGCTCCTTGTCAGGGGCAATTTGTTCAGCAGAGTCACGATGTGGTGGAACGCAGGTGCAACAACCATCATCTACAGGATTATGAGTGCAGCTGCTTAGCTAATACTTCTCCTACAGGAAATGGGTCATACAGCTAGGGTGCACAAAGAGAACAAAAGCATTTTGGGGAAGGGATTGGCAGAAGCTCTGGGTGCCCACCTGGGCAGCAGATACCTAGCTGGACTTCCCAGACCGTGTGGTATGAGTCCCGATATGATCTCAAGTTACTGTCAGCCCCTTAGGGAGTTGTACAGGCCTGGCTGTCTTCAGGCACACCTCCAGCCACAATCCTGAAGTCTTTATTTTTGTGTTGGTTTCCTGGTGAGCCCCCTCTGATTGGACACAAATTTCTATCTGACTTAGCCGCCTGTAACACCATCAGTGCTGCAAGCTCCCTTTTTCACAGAAGAACTAGGATTACAAAGCAAGAACTGTGGGGCGCTGGGGACCAGAGACTCTTCATTAATGTCACTCACTGCCAGCCCCTCGAATTCTTGGCAAAAATCTCACCTCATCCTGCTGGGGTGGGCCAGCTTTGGTCATGCAAACTGTCCCCAGCACGACTGTGGGGCTCACATGTGGCAATGCTGGGCACCAACGGGACAGACAATGGCCACTGTGGACTTCGTGCCTGCGAGGTGGCACCGTCATGGCTCCCCATCCTACAGCACAGACACAGAACCTAGCAGAAGCCGCCGGAGCCCAGGCCTGCGCAGCATCCTGACCCGAGGCCCCTGCCCTCAGGAGGCTGTGGCCCTGGTGAGGAGGTGACCGCAAGAAGGCAAGGTGGGGCACATACCTGATGGTGCAGGTTCACAGCCACAGTGCAGGAGGTGAAAGCTTTGTGCACGGCTCACGGCTGACTCACACATCTCCATTACAGGAGATTATGGGACAGGCGCACTGAAGAGTATTTTTAACAAAGCACTGGCACAGCACAGGTGTACCCATTCCTAATGGTCCATTAACGCCTCCTCCGAGGAGCAGTTGCTGCGTTGCTGCTACGTTTCCTGAGGTCAGCATCCTGGGAAGCATTGTCCCCGCCACCCAGACCTTGTTCCATGTTCTCTGCATTGTTCGCGGGCACGTGTGTGAGGAACTATTGGCATGCAGATTGTCTGTCATTAAAGCCATTTGAAAATCAGCTTTGTCATTGGTTTGGCTGGAACTTCAGATTCTCACAGGTGGCCCCACCCGCTCAGAACCTGCCTGTCCTCCTGGGGCTGCCCAAGACGTAGGCCACGGGAAGAGGCTGACCTTGACCTTGACGTGGGGACCCCAGACCCTGGGGTCGCTCAGAGGGAAGGCGGCCCTATCCAGAGGAGAACAGGGAGACTTCTGAAATCTCTGCAGCCTGCAGGCGGGTCCTGACCCTAAGTCACTGAGGTCACAGATCAGATGGCGCTGGGCCCATGGACACCGCCATGACTGGTCCCCCAGTGGGCTCCCGGGGCTCCACTCCTTGCCCACATCCTGGACCTCCCTGAAGCGCTGAGCTCCTGAAGCAGAGTCATGGGGTGACTTGTCCTGGGTCCTCCTGTCCCCACGGGGAAGAATAGTGCGGAGTTGCTTCTCACAGGCCGTCTTCCCTCCTATTGCACACCTGAGTTTCTGGAAGCCTCCATTCATTGCTCTCATGTCAATGCAAAGTAACAACTCTGCTTCAGAGGAAATGAAAAATCATTTATTCTGACCGAGGCCTGGAACCAGGACACAAGGACCCCAAGAGGCTCAAGGACCCCAAGGGGCTCGCTCTCAGGTGTAAGAGTTTACCCAGAGATTTACAGGCCAGGAACAGACAGCCATAACTCAGTACAGCTAGGAGAGCCGCAATGGGCGTGAGGCAGTCAGGGTGGGATAGGTCCTTGGAGGAGTGGGTGATCTGCTGGCGGCTTAGATGTCCAAGACTCCTGCTGGGAGGAGACCCTGAGGGGCTGTGCTCCATCAGGCTGCAGTGTGAACACCAATCAAGACCCACAGCCCCGGACACCAGGTCAGTCTAGCCTGAATTACATAGAGAGAACTTGTCTCAAAAAACCAGAACAGGGAGAGGTAAGACTTTAGGTAGAAGAGCTGACAACAATCAGGATGCCCTCAATAAGTAAGAAAAACAGAAAAGGACTCCAGCTTGGGCAGATAGAGGGGTGCACCCCAGTGGAGAGGAGCTCAGCAGTCCCCACACAGGCAGGCGCAGCTTCAAGGACCTAATGACCACTGGTTGCGTCCTGGCTTCAAGCACTGGAGTTCTCAGGGCTGTGGTCGGTCCCCTGACCAAGGAAACCCTGTTCCTGTCTTGGGTGGTTTTGGTCCTGGAGGCCCTGCGTCCTGGAACCCAGCTACCCACAAGTTCAGGACAATGGCACAACCCTCCTGGGGGACCTGAAGGTACCTTGTGTCCGGGAGCCCTCCGTCTTGAAGGGGAAGAGATCCAGTACATGTAGGGCTCTGTGTGTCGGCCCCTAAATGGACCCAAGGCTCACAACAGCCAGAGTACGAAATGCAAGTCCAGCAGTGTTGTGTTTACTGACCTGCTGGGCATCTGTAGGGAAGCCGTGCATCACAGCAGAAGTGGCCTTAAAATCCTGACCATCTCAGAAAAATAGTACGAATCACACTTTGTTTATTTCATTCCTGTGTTCAGAGACAGGGTCTCACTATGTAGCCCTGACTGGCCTCCAACCTGCAGCAGTCCTGTCTCAGCTCCCCCATGCCAGGAACACAGTCCTGTCTGCCACTCCCAGCACAAATCATGCTTTTAATGGGCAACAGATATAGGCCTGGGATTCTGCCTGTTCCCAAGCCCTGGGGCCTCCCAACCAGATCACTACCATGTCATTACTGGGTGCCCTGACCTGGCTCCAAGCTGTCAGGAAGGAATCCGGGCGCAGGCACATTGCCAGCCTGTGGCCTCCCATTAATGGCATCACCGGTCACAGAGGGGTCAAGTCACATGTTGCCCTTACAAAAGGAGTTGTGTGCCCTCCTCTGCTCATCCCCAAACCTCCAAATGAGCCCCAAGACCCTGGGACCTAGGCTGACCAGAAGGGTGGGCTCTGCTCATGTCTCAGCAACTGTGGGGGCCTTTTCCACCATTTCTGGGGTACAAACCCAGCCCCAGGGCTCCCCTACGGCCATCTCTCAGCTCCCTGGAGGGAGGAGGACTCAGTGTCCTCTGGAATAGCCAGGTGGGCATCCCCCAAAACCATACCCACTTACAGAGAGGAACCAGCAGGTTAGGGTCTGCTGTCAAATGTAAGGTTTTTATTTTCCCACCCCAGATACCGGTTCTGACCCGAATTTGAAAAAGTTGGAGGAAGTGGCCACAGTATTGGGTAAGAAGCTGGTGCCTGCATTGGGTGTGGAGAGGTTGGGCCATGTTGGGCGCTCCCCAAATAACTTGAAGTACAGCGGGTGGGGGGCAGGCTTGGCCCTTTGCCCAGCTGCTTCTGTCCCAGAGCTACCCAGCAGGATGGAAACTGAGGGCTGAGATAAAGCTCTGCTCCTCCCAGCCCTGAGGTCCAATGTGGGAATCTCAGCGACCACTGGCTGTTCCCTTAGCAATCCGGGTGGCAGAGACGAGCAGGAATCGCAGGCCCTAGCCCATGGCTTTAGTGACCGAAATTCAGACGGACATGGACTCTGAGATATTAGAGCCAACAGTGCCCTACTCCCCACAGTGAGGCCACAATGGCAGCATCCACACCGGCCACCTGGCGCCTCCATCTGTGCTGAGCCAAGTCAGGAGTGCGCTGCCCCAGGGTCCAAGGCCAAGCCCAGGCTCCTCCTCCTCAGCCCCAGGTGTTCAGGGCAACAGGGAGGATGCAGGAACCTGGGCCAACTCCCCAGGGGAGCATGCACCTGGCACATAGGGTCTCCTAGCACTCTGTAGGGAGATGGTAACTGTTTTGAGAGGGATCTTACATTCAGTCTAGTGGCCCTTAAACTCCCTAGATAGACCAGGCTGTCTTTAAATGCATGTCCTCCTGCCTCAGCCTCCCCAGTGCTACAACTGCAAGTGTGCACTGCCCACCCAATTACTGTCCAATTTTCTGGCCGCCATGTTAAAAGGAGAAACCATTCTACTGATATATTTAGTGTCATTTTTTTTCAACATGTAGTCAATATGAAATACTAATGAGGTATCTACTGTCTTATCACACCACATCTTCAAAGTCCAGTGTGTCCTCTGCATTCAAGGCCATTTCAGTGTGGACCCGACAGTCCAGAGCATGTCCAGGGGCCAGAGCCACCCTGCCCACAATGTCACTGTCTGATCCCCTCCTTCACTTTACACTTGGGAAATGGAGGCCAGAAGAGTCCCCCAGAGCAGGAGCAGGGTCTCAACCCTCGGCCGACTGGGATACATGGATGTCCCGTTTCCTGACAGCCAGGTCCTAGCTGGGGGATACCAGCTGCAAGGGCAGTGGCAATTTCTGGCTGCTGCTTCACTTACCTTGGGGCCAAAACTCTTGGGAGAGGCCAGGAGGCCAGGAGAACACTAAGTTCATCTGTGGAGCCATCGGGACAGATGTCCATCCATGTTGGGGGTAGGGGCAGGGCAGAATGGCCACAGGGCAGGAAGGACACACATGACCTGTCTGGGGCCAGGGCTACAGCTTGCATCTCACTGACAACACACCTGGGACACAAGCTTGCACAGGGTGCAGGTCAGTGCAGGCCACAGTCCCGAAGTTCTGCCCATGACCATGGTGCCATGACTCTGGCCCATGGTGAGCAATGTACCTGCCAGGCTTTGTGCAGCAAAACCCAGCTCACAGCCAGGAGCACTGGAGGCTCCAGGGCCCTGCAGTCCCCTGACAACAGAGCCAGGGCCACCCAGAGACCAACCACATGGTCCCTGGGCCCTGCAAGATTGAGGCAGCAGGCAGCATCCAGGAGAAATGCAGGTGGCCTGGATTTCTGGAGATCACCAAGGGAGAGAGACGGTGCTGCTTCCCAGGGTCAGGCCTGGGTCCCCGTGCTGCTTCCTGGCCTATTGTGGCAGGGACAAGACAGACATCAGCCCTGCACTGCTCGTGGGCTCTAACGCACTCTTCTGTGTTTTTCCCAAGATGAGATTCTAGTCCAAGAGATGCTGGAAAAAAACAAATCAACAGTTCCTGACCTCTATAAAATAGCGGTAACAGTATCAACACAACCCCCCTCGAAAAAAAGCAAGTATAAGGTTTTCTTCTGTAATCGTGCGTGTCGCCAGAGACGTGACGCTGCACCCATCATGACCTAGGGGTTCCTGAAGTTCCCTGCACGCATAGCAAAGTCGAGGGAGATGGGGAACCGCTGGCCCTGCCCTGTTCAGCCGGGGTGGGAGAAGTGAGGCTCCGGGGGCTCAGGTGTGGGGCTTGACCGGCCAGGATCGAGGGAGGAAATGACAGCCCAAGTGGCCTCGGCTGCCATCCCTGGCTCCTAGAGCCGGAAGGTGCCCTGTCCCTCCACATAGGAAAATTGTGGCCAGCACCGCTGAGCCGGGATCCCCTGGAGCGGTGAGCAGAGAGCAGGCTTTCCGGAGCATGGCTCACATGGCAGACTGTGTGGGGGTGAAGCCTCACACTGAGACCCACGGAGACTAGGGGAGGTCGCCAGGGACCAGAGGCGGACCTCAGGGTGCACTCAGCAACAGGAAGGTGGGGAGCTAACTAGGAAGTTTGCACCCAGACATAAACAGCACAAATTCAGATGAGTTCACCCGGTGCCCACCCAGGCCCAGCCCTGGGCAGCGGCACATTAACTTCCAGACGCACGTTTTCAAATGGAACTTGGAAAGCATTTTTGTTTATTTGGTGAGTGTGTGTGTGTGTGTGTGTGTGTGTGTGTGTGTGCAGGTGTGTGCATGTGTGTTCTGAGATAGGGTCTCACTGTGTAACTTAGGCTGGGCTTGAGCTATGTGGCCAAGGCTGGCCTTGAGCTCACAGTGATGCTCCTTCCTCTGCCTCCCAAGTGCTGGGATTGCTAATGTGTGCCACTACACCCAGCCTTTTGTGCATGTTTTTGTTTTTGTTTTTTGAGATGGGGCTCACTGTAAGTGCAGACTGGCCTCAAACTCAGTGATCCTCTTGACTCAGTTACCTGATTGGAGGAACTCAGGTATTTGCAGGTATTTGCCACAACACCCAGCTACAGAATTTGAAAACTTTTATATTAGTTCAACCCAAAAATGTAAGACACACTTTGGGCCAAAAGTGTTCTGAAGTGTGTAGTTACAAAATCTCTCCTCCTTTTCTGGATGTTCTTCACTGAAGAAGTCCTCCCGAAAGGGAATCACCGCAACCCAGCTCCTAAGAAACATGAGAAACAGCTCTCTCCTTGGCACATGGGCGATTCTTTCTTTGATGGTAAGTACATCCCAAATCCCCTGCCTGAGCTGAACATACCAGGAGACAGACTGACAGACAGAGGGGTGGACAGAAGCAGGTGGAAGCCCTTCCCAGGTGGAGGTTTCGGCTGCCAAGCCCCTGCCTGTTGGGTCTCCCAGTCTCCACTGGAGGCAGAACCCCACCTCCCCAGGCTGCCCTGGGCCTAACCTACAATGCCAGCAGGAATCCCAGCAGCAGCCTAAGTCCCCTCTCCTGCCAGCAGGAGGAGGGGAGCACAGCCGCCAGAGATTCCCCCAGGGCCTTGGTCTGCAGGGAGCGTGATAAACCTACAAGGAAGCACTGAGCAGATTGGGACTCTTGGGTGACTGGTGCCTCTTTCTTGGAGCTCTGAGATGATGCGAGAGCCTGCTGTGGGGTGCCCCACACACAGCCCCCCGCCTAGGCTCCTCAGGAGGGGAGCTCATGAATGCAGATTCCTAGGCCTTTGGGCTGCTTCAGGAGCCAGGAACCTGCATTTCAGTCACGCCCATGCATGCATGCATCTTCTCCAGTGGCAGCAGGGAGTACGGCGGATCAGAGGAGTCAGTTTCAGGGCTTCCACCAGAATACCGTGCTGTTTAAAATCTACATTACATATTTGCCCTGCTGAGGGGCTGCACGGCTGCTCAAGGCTCCCAGTTGAGTGTATAGTTGGCTCCTCCTGGGAGCACCACAGGCCAGAGGCTGCAGGGTCTGAGTTGCACCCTGCCCATGGCTACCCGGGTAGCAGAGGAGTCAGATGCCAAGAAAACAAGCAGGACCAGGGCTGTGAGACCAGTCAGGGTGCCAGGGCCTAGCCTGATGAGGACCCTCGGGACACACAAGGGCATGCACGGCACAGTATGTGCTTCCTGCCAGGCCCAAAGACTGACCTGCGGCCACATGCCACATGTCTCACTCTAAGGGGCTCCTGACTCACAGGGATGCAAAGGGCTCCCACGTAAATCTTTCACTCCTACCCACTGTGCCAGGGCAGCTGTTTTTGGGGACCAGGGGGCAACATAGGTGAGGTGGGAGTTTGGAACAGGGTGGCCAAGGGCCAGCCTAGGAGGGAGCTTAGCAACTAAAACTAACACAGCTCCTGGCCACCTGCTGAGGAAAGGAAAAGGAGAGCATGAGCAAGGGAACACTTCAGAAGGGAAGCCCCAGCTTCGCCCGGTGCCTGCAGGGTTGCCCTGTGCTGGGGGCTGCTGTGTCCCAGGAATATTTTGGTGGTCAGTGGTCCCTGTTTACAAGTCATAGTTCAGTCCCCTGGGTCACTGTGATACGGTGACCTCAGAGCAAAAAGGAGACTCAGCCTCCACCACACAGCAGTCCGTGAAAGCCCTGTGTCAGCAAATCACAGTGTGACCAGTGGGCAGAGCCGGCTGGGCACCATGCAGGCTGGTGCCAAGGTCCTGGAAATGGGTCCTGCACCCACCCTGGGCCATGCAGCAGCCAGCCCTGGCTATCTGCTGACTGCAGGGGCTCTGCTTTGACAGCAGCACAGCCCCCCTTGGAACCTGTACAATTTGTATAACGTAGCTTGAGGAAGTATCTTGCGTTTTGGGGCCGTGCTTCAGTTTTGATGTGTAGCGTTTATGCTCTGAGATGCCATGGTCTTTTTCTCTAGGTTCAGTCACTCGGCCTAGCTCAGGCAGACCAGCTGGGGGCTACAGGGTGGGACATCACTGATCAGTGACATTGCTTTAAAGAGGACATACCAGCACCTTGGCTAGACTCATTTGCATTACTTTTTTTTTTGTCTTTTTTGTTTTTATCGGTACCAGGGATCGAACTCACAACTGCCTGCTTGCAAGGCAGGTGCTTACGCTGCTGAGCTAAATCCCCAGCCCCCAATTTTTTTTTTTTTATCTTTTTCATTTGTTTTTTTTTTTTTTTATCGGCAGCAGGGATCGAACGCATGACCGCACACTTGCTAGGCAGGCACTTACCGCCGATGAGCTAAATCCCCTCATTTGCATTGCTTAAAGCCAACTGGAGGGAGGTAAAGCAATATCCTAGCCAGTTCTGGGCATATCAATACGTGGGATTAGGGCCCGGTTTAGCCAAAATGGAGACACATGTTCTTCTTTTGAGGAGCACCATCTCGGTGGTCCTCCACAGTTGGTGAACAGATGGTGTGTTTACTGCAGAAGTCCAGACAGCCTGTTGAAAAGAAAAACAAGAGTTTGGAATTTGTCTTACTGCTAGGACAAAATACCTAATACTTACAGGTTAAAGAAAGAAAGCTTTATTTTAGCTCACAGTTCAAAGTAGTTTCAGTCCATATTGGGTTGATGCCAAGGCTGGGTGGCATGGCAGAAGGGCATGTGGCATAACAGTCTATGGCAGAGCAGACAGGAGGTAGGAAGCAGGAAGCCTTCCTTCCCCTTTTTATTCCACTTAGGCTGCAAGCTGCCACCCACTCCCAGGGTGGGGCTTCTCATTATCCGCACCCAGAACTATGCTAAACCAATCAGTGATTAACCTAGTTATCACACCCTTAATCCAGCATATCCTACCCATGATCCAGCCACCTCCAAAAAGCCCTACCTGGAGGGAGATTTAGACAAAAACTGTAACAGAATTGAACCAAAATTGTTGGTTGACTCTGATAGTAGCCCTTGATTTCTCCCACAGAAGAGGAGAGAGAAATATTTTATGAGATTAAAAGCCTCACAACGCTGGAGAAAATCATCAAAAGCCTTCAAAAAATGCTAAGTAAGGGCTGGAGCCCAGGGCCCCAGGTGATAGGTGGGTGTGGGAAAGTTTGGGCCTAGGAGCTCCCTCCAGACTGGGACCAGAGGACAGGGGCTCAGCCCCAGCGCAGTAGCCTAGGCTCTGCAGGGGTTTCCATTGGGTGGGGCTGCACACCCAGGGACACTGGCCTCACCTATCCAAGGGTCACAGTAGGAAGGGGAAGGCATTGTAACTTTGGTAACTTTGTTTTCCAAAGCTGCAGCTTCTTAAAAGCATAGCCTGCATAGTGGCACAGACCTGTGATCCAGCACTTGGCAGGCTGAGGCCAAAAGATCACAATTTCAAGCCCAGCCTGGCCCACACAGTGAGACCCTGTTTCAAAGGAAACAAAACAAAACAAAAATGAGTACAAATTTAGATTAGATTTGCTTTGTCTCTTCTACCTGTCTCAGTTCTTCACCCTACCTCAGTCTGACCTGGGTTCAAGTTGCTTGATCTTGGGAGTCCTTGGCACATGGCCTGGCCAGAGCCTCAGCTTCCCGCTCCTCAACACGGGGCAGTCACAGCCCCACCTCAAGTGTTGAGGGGACAGAAGAGATGATGTCTGTGGAGTGCACATGTGGAGCCAGCACGGGGCTGCAGAGGCCCAGGGAACGCAGCTGGAGGAAGGCGCTAGCACGGCTGCAGATGCCCAAGCCCCACAGCCCACAGCATACAAGCTGTCGTGGCAGGGAGCACCCCAACCTCCAACAGTGTCCAGGAGCCCCAGGTCTGGCTGAGGAGCCTGACCCCGCCCTTACCCACAGAACAGGCTGTGGGATTACAGGCTCCTGCCTGGAAAGGTGACTTTTCAGGATGGCACAGTAAGAGACACAAAGGGACTTAGTAGAGGAAATTAAAAAATGTGCAGTCCCTGAAAGAGACTTGAGAGACTTGCAGTCCCTTGAAAGAGTCCTTGAGAGACAGATGCAGTGTAGTTTGGAGCTGGGGTATCTGAGTGTTTCTGGTGGTGGAACCAGTGGGACCTGTTGGTCTGTGGTGTTGGGGTGGGCACCGGCAAGGGGCGTCCACCTACAGGAGGTCGCAGGCCACTGGCAGAGAAGGCAGGTGGGAAGGGAACCGCTGAAGTCATCAGTTGGTGAAGGGGGAGAACCTGGCTGACTGTGCTCTGAGAGAAGTGAGAAAGAGGAAAAGCTTTTCAGCTGGACTTGGGTCCTAAAATTAGAATTTTCAGAGCCTGGTGTGGTGACACACACCTGCAAACCCAGCACTCAGAAGGCCGAGGGAGGAGGGTTGCTGGGAGCTCAAGGCAAGACTGGGCCACAGAGTAAGAACCTCTCTTGAAAAAAATACATATGGATATTTTTCATTGTCTCCTTTCTACTCTTTCATTTATTTTACAAGACAGGATCTTGCACCATAGTTCAGGCTGGCCTTGAACCTATTATGTAGCCCAGGCTAGTCTCAAACTCATAGCAATCATACTGCTTCAGCCTCCCAAGTTGGAAGATTATAGACTTGGGCCACCATGCCCAGCTTTTTTGTTTTTTTGAGACAGGGTCTCACTGTCTGTTCCAGGCTGGTCTTGAACTTCTCCTGCCTCAGTCTCCTAAGTGCTGGCATTACAGGCAAGCACTACCATGCCCAGCCAACCCATCTATTTCTTCTACCCTGCTTCACAGTGACCCCAGTGGTCAAGGTACCAACTGCCCTACTCCCCCTCAAGAAAACTCTTTCCCACCAGGAGAGAACCTCAGGAAGAAGCACAGGCTGCACAAGAAGAGGCTGAAGGCCAGGCTCCTGCACAGGGACAGAAGGAGCCTTCCCTGAGCTCCCAGAAGATGGCCAGGGCACCTTGTAAAGGACAGAGGACTTCGCTCGCCGGTGTGGCACCTAATAAAATCACCGCATTTAAATGTAGCACTGCAGCAATGAGTGGTTTTTCCTAAAATACAACAAGGAAAGGAAAATGTAATCTACGGCCGGGGTGCAGCCCAGGGGTAGGACCCCCATGAAGGTAGAGAAGGCCAAGTTCACCCCCGCATCTGCACCCCGAAAGGAAGAGAAGAACTCTGATCTGAGCCTGAACTACAGGGTCTGGAGCTCACCATTGCCTGACAGGTGCTTTGCAGGAATCCGCACCAATGCCTGCGTGCCCCTGTGTACATGGTGTTTTCTACACATGTGTGTGTGCACAGCAGGCCATGGTGACTCCTGCACCATTCCGATTCTGTCTGAATTTCAATGTGAAGACACCAGAAGCTTCCGCACTGGGGCTGCTGTTAGAGTTTCACAATGCAGAGGTGCTATGGCTGCCAGGACCAGCAGAGCAGGGACTGGAGAACTTGTTAGCCAGCAGGACGATGGTGGGAGGAAGGAGTGCAGATCCCCAGCCCTGGCACAGGCACGGTGTTATTCACAGAGTGCATGAGCAGGTCAGGAGACAGATGTGGCTCAGGTGACAGGAGAATGTCACAGAGACACAGCACCCCGTGGAGATGCTGCACGGAGAGAGAGCCTGGCTCCATCCTTGGGTTGCAGAGTCTAAAGCCAGGGGCACAGCCAACCCATCTGTTGGGTTGGAGGCTGAGGTAGGGCAGGACAGCCTTGCCTGGGGGAATGGGGGAGAGTAGAGGTCCTTCAAGGCTCTAGGCCTGGCCCTTGGTCCTGCAGCCATCAGAAGGTGAACCAGAGAGGCAGCCTGTGGCAGAAGCCAGGCCAAGGCTGGGCAGGAGGGCTGCAGTTAGCCCGCTGTGGGCTCCTGAGGGGCAAAATCTGAAGGAGGGAACTCTGGCTCCGAGTTGGCAGAGGGGATGGGATCTGAGATGCACTGGATTGGAACTGCTCCTGGGGTGCTAGGAACCAAAGTTGGGGGGAAGGGGTGGGGAAGGACAGGAGGAAAGGACTGCTTGGTCCTGGGCGGCTGGGCTATCTGCACCAGGCCTCAGGCCCAGTGGCAATGGATAATGAGACCCAGGAGGAGAAATCTGAGGCTCGGCCAGGCTCTCAGCACTGAGGGGGGGGGGGGGACCGGCCGGAGGCAGAGACCTTCTGGCCATGAACCCAGCAAAGGGCCACTCTTCCAGGCCACTGAGCTGGGTGGGGCTGGGTGTTTTCCACGGGGTCATGAGCATGTAATGTGCTAGAATCTCTTCCTGGTGTTTTAGGGTATCCCTTCCTGTGCAGGATGCAGGTCAGCAGCCTTGAGGCTCCCTGGAGGCCCATGGTGCCCCTCCCCCTCATGTCCCAGTGCACAGGGCCCTGAGGCCCCACTAGTGATGGAGCCTGGACGGGGACACCACCGTCTACCACCACACAGAAACATCAGAGAGGTCAAGGGCAGGCTGCAGAGGACATGGACACAAAGCAGCCAGAGCCCGATGATTCTCCAACCCCACTACCACCACCCCCATCAAAACCCTGCAAAAACTTTAAAAAGTCTCTTCCCCTGAACAACACCCGCCCAGTCTGTGGCACAAGTGGGTGTCCGGGTTTGACCTGCCTGCATGGTGGAGTCCCAGTCCCCATTTGCCTGGACTGCACACACCCTTAGCCCAGGGTGGGGGAGCACTCCATGCAATGTTGCCAGGGGGCAGGGGAAAAGACCTTGGCTTTGAGGGGACCACCCATGAGGAATGAAGACAGGAGGGAGACCCCGCCAAGCTGGCCCAGGCTGTGCAAGGGGTGTCAAGGTGGCCTGAAGGAGGCTGATGAGGAGGCAGAGCAGAGTGCTGGCTCCTCAGGACTAACCCACCCCAGGAGGGCATTGGCAGCCTGGTGCTGTTTATCTCTCTCTCCCGGAGGAGCTGTAGTTCAGGTCCACACTGAATGCAAATCCTTTGTTTGGTAAGTGACTCCCAAACAATTCTCCTTGTTTTTCAGTCTGCTTCTGATACATGTCAAAATGAATTTTTGGCATGGTGGTGCAGGCCTGTAATCCCAGCCCTCGGGAGGTTGAGTCAGGACTGCTGAGTTTAAGGACAGCCTGGGCAAAGCTGGGAGGCCCTATCTCCAACAAAAACAAAACAAAGAGTTTCTCATTCTAGTGGGTGTGGCAGCACATGGCTATAATCCTAGCATTTGGGAGGCTGAGGCAGGAGGATGGTTGCAAGTTCAAGACCAGCCTTGCCTACAAAGTGAGCTCAAGGCCAGCCTGAACTGCATAGGGCAACAAGACAAGAAAGAAAGAAAGAGAGAGAGGAAGAGAGAGAGAGAGAGAGAGAGAGAGAGAGAGAGAGAAAGAAAGAGAAAGAAATTGGTATTGTCTCTTTTTTCTTTGCCCCCTTTTTTCTTTAATGGTTATGCTTTATGTTCCTCCTTGAGAAATACATTACAACTTGAATGGTGCTTTCAATCTGCCTCAAAATTGTGTCCGGATTTCTTGTCTAATGAAGGAGCAAGTTCGTGCAAGTAAGGAGGAGGAGCCCTACTTTCACCTCCTTTCTTGCCCTCTGCTCTGCGCCCACTGCTCTGTGGGTGCCGGACCCTAGCTTCCTCTGGGGAGCAGCTGTTCTTGCAGGTCAAAGTGATGGGCTCCTCTGCAGGGTCAGCTGGATGCTGACAGCTGTGCCTGGGGCAGGTGGCCTCCCTAGGCAGCAAACCCCAGTGGGCATTAGAGACTCCTGTAGCCGCTGAGGCAGACACCTCCAACAAAACCCCTGAGGCCATCAACACTGGAATTCAGCCTTCAGGAGAAACAAAACCATAACCTGATAAAGATGGACCAATAAAGGCCCTTGGTGGAACTGTGGGAATCTCACATCTTCACAATCTGAAAATCCTTTCACACCCGAAATCTTCTGAGCCTGGAAATGACCCTTTTACTTGCACAGGATGTTTGCTTGTGTGTGTGTGTGTGTGTGTGTGTGTGTGTGTGTGTGTGTATGTGTGTGTCTGTCTGTCTGTCTGTCAGGGACAGGGTATTAACGTGGGCCCAGCCTGGCCTTGAGATCGATGCGATCCTCCCGCATCATCTTCTGGAATGGTGGGATTCCAGGCATGCACCACCACGCTCCCTGGACAGGCTCATTATTGTCTCTATTTTGGGAATGAGGAAACTAAACCTGAAGGCCAGAAAGTCCCTTCCAGATGTGTCAACCAGCTTCTGGGGACCAGGAAGGGCTGCGAGGGGTGCTACTGTCTGGGGAGAACTCCCTGGGCCTCTGGCTATCGCCCAAACTGTGTGGTTTCCTTAAGTGGCACCTGGGGAGGGCAGACTGCCACCCTCTGCCACCATGGGCCACCCTGCACGCCCCGATACCCTAAACCCAGCATCAGTAAAGAACTAAAGAAACAGGGGGCTGGGAATTTAGCTCAGTGGCATAAGCACCTGCCTTGCAAGCAGGCGGTCGTGAGTTCAATCCCCGGTAGCGATAAAAATAAATAAATAAAATTAAGAAACAGAGTTGAAACTAAAGGCAGACAATTTATTTGAAGGTGAGGGAAGAAGAGAAGGGAGCGAGACCTGGCTGAGAGTCACCCTGGGTGAGAAAGGAAAATACTTATAGCAAAAACTGTGGATTGGGACCCTCATCCCCATAGGCTCCTAGAATCTCACAGCTCCCTGGCCGTCCCTGGTCCTCCCTCAGAATTATTTTGGTCACTTGACCTTTCCTGTAGTTGGAGGAGGGTGCTTAGGGACAGCTAGTTTATTTAGCATCATGGGTGCAGCGCTTTTGGGTGATCCCAAGTCTTCCCCGAGCTTGGTGTCTTTTGTCTTTCTGATTGCCCAAACCTAGCTGTCTCTGTCTTTCTAATGTGGGGAGGCAGAATACCTCCAGTAAATTGCTAGTTCCCAACTTAGTAATTCTATTGTTTTAACCCTTCATCCTCTTTTTCCTCTGAGCCCCCCCCCCCCTGCATTGCACTTTGTCCTCTGTCCCACGTCTGGCTGCTCCCTTAATGCCCAGCTTTGCAGGTTGCCCTCAAGTTTGGAAGAAGTGGGAAGGGTAATGGAAGGTTCTAGAAGACACTGGAACATTTGTCTGCCTGGGGGAAACTTGTAACACATGCATTCACCAGTCTGTGTCCCTCAGATAATGACAGGCAAGAGACATTTCAACCTAACCCAACCCCTGTGACAGCAGACCCCTCTCACGGGTGTCCTAGCGATACTGGTGCTGGCTTCTGGAATGTTCTGAGGAGTTAAGACGACAGTGGCGGAGCTGGAAATTTAGCTCAGTGGCCTAAGTGCCTGCCTACCTGGCAAGCATAAAGTCATGAGTTCAATCCCCGGTACCACCACCACAAAAAAAAAAAAAAAAAAAAAAAAAAAAAAAAGATAACAGTGGCACTTCCAGAAGGGCCAAGAAAATACAGGTCCTCCCAACTGCCCCAGTGCCTGGTTGCCTGGTGCGCATAGCCCAGTCGGGCCCCCTCCCAGTGGAGCTACAGAGCACATTTTAATAGCAGTGACTCACTGGGGACTCTTCTCCATGACAATGAAGGAGCCTCTGGAAAACATTTCAGGCTGCAGGTGGTGTCTGTCTTCTGAGCCCTCTCGCTGTCACCAGGCCAGGCAACTTGCCTGGGTGCCCACTCAGGCCTCTGTCCTCCTCTTCAGCCCCACTGTGGTATGGATGCCAGTCTCCAAATTGTGTGTGAAGGCCATAGTGGTGGCGGGGAGGGGTACTGTGGCCTGCGTGGGATCGACAGGTCACTAGGACCGGAAGTCCATCTCTCCCTGCTTCCCGCTCACCAGGAGCCACGCATGTCCACATGCCCCTGCTCTGCAGTGCCACCTCTAGCAGGCACCACTGGATCTTAGACTAGTGGCTCCGAACCCTGATCCAAAGTAAACCTCTGCTCCTTACAAGTCTATCACCTTGCTGCAATAAAGTGAAGCTCATTGAGCATCCTACCCCACTCTACCCTAGGACTCTGGGAGCAGATGTGACATGGGGAACAAAACTCCCTACCTACTAAGTGTTCTGGAGGAGTTCGGGTTCTCTAAAGTCAAAGAATGAATTTGAGGAACAACAGAAGTCAAGAGCAGGATACATTTATTATGAGAAAGAAAGCTTCTGTCTGAGAGAGCAAAGAGGTCCTGAGTGGGTTGCCAGGGACTGTCGTTCCTAGGGCCTTTTAAAGAGCAAAACCACAAGGCGAGATGGGTCTAAGGTAGGGAAAACTGGGAACTCACAAGGCAGAGCCATGGGGTGGGACAGAACCATGGTCAAACAATCAAATCAGTTGTTCAGGTAGCACTGACCAAATCAGGGACACATGGGGAAACGACTCACGCAGTACGCAGGCACTGACTCGTCCTGCAGGGGTTGGGATGGAGACTCCGAGATTCCTCAAGGTGACCCATACCTATTTAGAATCTCAGTCCCTGCTGGCTGTCTTAAACTTAGGGTGTGGCTGCATTTGTTTTGCCTACTGTTTTGGGTTCTGGCCCACAGCGCTGGTGCCTGCTCCTCCAAGGTCCCAAGGTATCTGGTCCTCTGCACTGGCTCCTTCAAGGGCCCAGCTCTGTCTGCCTGCCTATAATATTTCTATCCAACTCAGCCACCTGAAACAGACAGCTCGCTTCCTTTGCTTCTAGGTACAATACAGGTCCTTCCCATTTTTGTCTGTTTTTGAAGGGCATTTGTGCTACTGGCTTGCTTTGTTTTTGAGACCGGTTTCACTATATCATTCAGGTTAGCCTTGAACTAGCAAGGGTCCTCCTGCCTTAGCCTTCCGGGTGCTAGGACTGCAGGCAAGGACCCCCACGCCTGGCTTTTTTTTTTTTAATAACTTAAAAGATACAGGAAAGTCAGGCAGTCGTGAGTTCGATCCCCGGTACCAATAAAAACGAAAAAGACAAAAAAAAAAAAAAAGATACAGGAAAGTAAGTAGAATTGTAGACTCTTGATGTTCTTTAGAACCAAGACCTTGGTCTATAGCACAATCAAAGGATTTGAATTTCAGTTTCCACTGTGGATCTACCTGGCAATGTGCACTGGGATTAAATATCTGGGCATCATCCTGGCTTTGAGCAATGCTGTAATTGATACAGGGGAATAAACTCCCGACCCGATGTGTGTCCAGTACGAGTGCGTGTTCTCTAAAATTGAAGAATGAATTTTAGGAACAATAGAGGTTAGGAGTAGAAATATCTATTGAGAGAAAGAAAGCTTCTGTCTGAGAGACAGAAGGGTTTCAAGGGGGTTGCCAAAGATTCCGTATTTCCTCTGGATTTTTATAGAGTAAAATCATGAAGTGAGGCAGGTCTAAAGCTGGGGATAACTGAGAACTGGCAAGACAGATGGGCACGAGGTGGGACAGAACTATGATCAACCAATCAGATTAATTATTCAGATAAAAGTGACCAAATCAGGGACAAATGGGGAAGCGAATCACAGAGTAAGCAGGCACTGACTATTCCAGTAGGGGGTTTTGAGGGAGACTCCTAGCTTCTGAAAGTGATCCAGATTTAATCCTTAAGGATACCGTAAGGGTGTGGTTGCATTTGTTTTACTTTCTGTTATGAGATATGGCCCACAGCGAGAGGTGTGTCTTCTCCAAGGTCGCCAGACATCTGGTCTTTGTGTCGGTTGTTTGTGGGCCTAGCCCTGTCTGACTGCCTGTAATATTTCTTTTTTTTTTTTGTCTTTTTCGTTTTTATCGGTACCAGGGATTGAACTCACGACCACACACTTGCAAGGCAGGCGCTTATGCCGCTGAGCTAAATCCCCAGCCCTGCCTGTAATATTTCTAACTGGCTCAGCCGCCTGGAACATATGACTGGGAGGAAGAGTGTGAGCCGTCCAGGTTGTCTTCTACCCTTACCTATTGCAAGTCAGCAGGTCCATCTGCCACTAGAGTGAGAAGAGTGCTTAGCCCAGAAGAGAGGCAGCCAGGAAACCGGAGTCCAGTCCACACTCAGGAACTCAGGACACCCTGGCCCATGGGCAGGCTTTTGGCGTCTGCCCAGAGTCCTTATAGGGATTTTTTTTTTTTTTTCTTTTTGAGACTGAGTCTCTCTGCAGTTCAGGCTGGCCTTGAGCTCACTTTGTAGCTTAGGCTGGTCTTGAACTCCCAGTGATCCTCTTGCCTCAGCCTCCAAAGTGCTGGGATTACAGGCCTGAGCCACCACGCCTGGTTTAAGGATTCTTTTCATGATTAAGAATGTCTAATTTTGCTGGGTGTAGTGGTACACGCCTATAATCTCAGCACTGGGGAGGCTGAGGCAGGATTGCCTCATTCATGTTCAAGGTCAGCCTAAAAAAAATACAAACAAAAAACCAGTCTTTACATTATTCCATTTGTCCCTGACAAGATATTAAAGTACACTTTTTAACCTAGAAAGAAGGTTGTCACAAGGACAATGCCCGAGGGACAAGGGATTTCCCAGAGTGACCCAGCCCTTGGTGTGGTAAGCACCAGGCCATGAGACCTTGTTTGTTCCTGGTGCCACACACTGTGAAAAAGTTCTGGGGTGGGGGGCCAGTCCTCCCCTCCAGATACAAGTACATAGGTGGGTTAAGTGGCTGTCAATCTACATCAGTGTATGTAAACCAAATAATTCTAAGAAACCAGAAAGTCATCTTCACTGAGGAAAGATGTGCGGTTTTATGTTTCTTTTTATTTTTTTGGAGACAGGGTCTCACTATGCAGTCCAGGCTAGCCTCAGACTCATGATAATCTTCCTGTATCAGCCTCCGGAGAGCTGAGATCACAGGCATATGTCACAACATTGAGTGGAAAAAGATGCTAAATATCATATCTTGTTTTATTTTGCTATCATAAATGTAATGCAAGATTTACAAGGCTAAAGCTCACAGTGGGTAGAAGTCTGGTTACATTCCAGACTCGGATTTGTCCCTGGGCGACACTCCCAGAGTGGAGGGTGTGGGGCGGACCCCTATGGACAGCCAGGCCTGAAACTGGACAAACAGGACGCTTCTGTCCTAACAAGGGCGGAAGCCATTATCGCAGCACAGATCTTTACTTAGATTAAGATCAACATGGCTTGGGCAGAGAACAATGGCTTAATCTCCGTGAGCAAAGTTTGGGTGGACGGTCCATCCTCGCCCTCCTGGTGCAAAAAGGTTCTGCCCCACTCCTGGAGGGGAGCCTGGTGGCCCGTTTCCGTGTGCACATAACAGAGCCTGAAGCTGAGCACAGGGAGGTGGGATGTCCCCAAGGAAAAGCAGTGTACACCTGGGAAGCTGGAGCTCAGAGGAGCGCAGTAAAACGAATTCATGGTGGTGAAATCATGATTTCCATCATCAGAAGTTACTTGTTTAACGACAGCATAGGACGCTTTTTCAAGCGGAGCAAGAACTTGACTATTCCCTTTTGTGACGTTTTTCTGCATAAAAAGCTTGCCAGGAAGCGCGCCGACCTGATTTAAAAGTCGCTCACGCGCCAGGGTCGGGCAGTTAACCCCGCCCCACCCATCAATCATGCCAGACCCCGCCCCGACCACGCCCCCTACCGACGGCAACCTAGGTCACCGCCACCTCAGATGTCGATCACAGCCAGGCCCCGCCTCTAGTGCGCGCACGGCTCGGCAGCCGGTGGGACAAGGCAACGGTGCCACTCTCGCCCCTTTGTGCTCAGGAGGCGGTCTCCGGCCCTCACCGCGCGTCCTCTCGCCTGTAGCCCCACGCACTCCAGCGACGGATCATGTCGGCGGCGGGAGCGGGCGCGGGCGTGGAGGCGGGCTTCTCCAGCGAGGAGCTACTGTCGCTCCGCTTCCCGCTGCACCGTGCCTGCCGCGACGGGGACCTAGCTGCGCTCTGCTCGCTGCTGCAGCAGACGCCGCACGCCCACCTGGCCGCCGAGGACTCTTTTTACGGCTGGACGCCCGTGCACTGGGCCGCGCACTTCGGCAAGGTGGGCGCGAGCGCTTTAAGGCGCCATTTTCCGTGGCTTCCTTAGGGGCCCGGGGCGTGCCGGGAGCGCGGGAGGGAGCAGGATTGGGGGCGCTTCGAGGGGCCAGGCCAAAGTGCTGGGGGCGCACGTTCTGGGCCTTTCGGGCCAGGACTCGCCGAGATTGCGGGGCGGGGGTGAGGTCGGCGGAGGCGGCGGCTGCGCCGCCGCATGGGACTTCGGGCGTCGATGGGACTACTCTCGGTCTGGGACCCCTCAGGGCGCGGGGCGTGCCGGGAGCGCGGGGCGGAAGCGGGCCTGGAGAGCCGGCGTCCAGAGGCGTTGAGGGCGCATGTGCGGTGGCCCGCATTCCGGGACCCTTGGTGCGCGGGGTGTGCCGGGATTGTGGGGCGGAAGCGGGGTCGCTGCTACCCCCGAGTTGCCCAGGGCGCATGTGCGGTTGGCGTCTGGCCCCTTTTTTTCCCAACTGGGCGGGCCCGAGAGACTGGGCCCGCCGCGCCGCGGCCTGTGCTCCGTGGGACTGGTGCCAGGCCCGCCGCAACAGCGCTGGCCTCCTGCCTCTCGAGTCGTGCGCCAGACTTGTGGTGCGGGAATGGCCGCAGCAGGGTGCGCGCAGCCTCGCGTTTTCCTAATCCGGGCTCTGGAGAAGCGGTGACGCTTTGTGGTGGAGCCGCGGCCGGGCAACAGCTTGGGGACCTCCCGAGGCTCCACAGGCAGGCGGCGCCCCACCCTGCGGCCCGTCCCTCCTGTCGGCTTTGGCGGGGAGGACGCGAGGCACTAGGGCGCCCTACTTAGATCTGCGGATCGCAGCCTCGCCGCTTTCACACACGTAAAACGATAAAAGTTCACGTTACGAGGTGTATGTCACAGCGGGTTCAATAGCTGATCGCATCACTTGTTTTGTTGCTTTGGAGACCGGTGGCCTCGCGAGGACCGCCCAGGTACCCACTGTTGTCATCAGCGTCCCTGACCTGCGGCCCGGGAGGCCAGGGCTAGCCGGGGCTAGCCGGGGCCGCTCTCCACTTTTGTGGGGGTTTCTGACCCGTGCCAAGGGTTCATGGGTTACTTAACCATTTATGAGGCTCCTTTGTTCCCGGAGGACTAACAGCTATTAAAGTGTCTAATTACACACTGCTTTCACAAGATGCCATAGTTAAAAATACTTCTCCAGAATTGCAAACCCAATTTCCTAATTGAAGCCAGAGGGAACGGACTTAGAGTGAGTCCAGGGAACTCTTTCCGCGCAGTAAATTAAACACAGTTCTCAGTCAGCCCTTAAATCTGGCTGCTTCCAGCTCCGAGCTGTTTGAAGGATAGATTTATTCCTAGGAAAGGGGAGATGGGGTGGAGGGTCCTTCCTGTGAGCCGGCGAGGAAATTGAGAGCAGCTTCTCGTGCGGCACAGCTTTCTCACTTAAGTCTGGCTCTCGTCGCCCGTTGAGCAGATACAACGGCCTAGGAGTGTAGAGTGTGTGAGTCAGTTACAGAACCGAAGAGCACATGGTGACATTGGCCAAATCTACTGACTAGTGGATTCCTTTAGCCAAGGTCAGGATATTAGGGCCAGACTACTCACTTGTCCTAACTTGCTAGTCGTCCTGGTCACCTGTTGGCATGCGGAGTTCAGTTGTAATGCAGCCTTTGGTGCATAGTTTTCTTTTTTTGAGTCAGTCTTGCCAAGTCACCAGCTGTCCAGGCCAAGCTTGAAGTTACCGTCTTCCTCCCGAATGCTGGGGTTGCAAGCGCTTGGCGCAGCACCAGATTGGAAGACAGTCTATGAAGTGTTTACCGTGGCTGCACATTTTTGTGACCCACCAATCACTCTTAACATTTTTATTATCTAGAATAGTGTATGTAGGTCTGAACAGCGCTGTGGTCTTTTTTCTGATTTTGGCATTTTCAGTTGTAGAAAAACCAAGACGTTCATGTAGTATTAATCACTGGCGTTTTAATCCCCTCTCCTTTTTTGGTACTAGGAATCAAACTCAAGACCTTGTGCTTACTAGGTAGGTGCTCCCAATTTTTTAAATAAGGACAGGTGAAGATGTTTTCTTTTTTCTCTTTTAAAGAGGGTAAAATTCAACACAACAAAACAATAAGAAAGCAACGTGAGACAAATTTCAAAGCAAGACAGATCTTCACTATATCATTGTCTCTTGTTTTTTTCCAGATAGTTGTCCATATCTTCACATACAGAGGAAGATGTTTTCTAAATTCCTTAAAATAGCTATATGGCCTTGAGAAGGAATTAAGAAAAGGTGACCAAAGCCACTGGTCACCACAGTGCAGGTGTGAGCTGATCTATGGTGGTGAATGGCCAGCTGACCTATCTGTTTTCATCCCCTTTGCTGCGGCTTTGCAGTTGGAGTGCCTGATCCAGTTGGTGAGAGCCGGTGCCACCCTGAACATCTCCACCACACGCTATGCCCAGACTCCGGCGCACATTGCAGCGTTTGGAGGACACCCTCAGTGCCTAGTCTGGCTGATCCAAGCCGGGGCCAACATTAACAAACCGGTAAGCAGTGCGCTTTGCTCTCCCTTTTCTTTCCAGGCACGGTCACTGTGGGGTCATTGGAGCCTGAGGAAACTGGGGGTTTTCCCTCCAGGTCTTTGTGGGTGATGGGTCCAGCGGCAAGCTGTCCGGTCTGTACCATCACACACATGCTCTGGCTCACCCGCAGATTGGTGTGCTGCCCAAGGTCGCAGCTGGGAATTGAAGGTGCTGGCCTTGTGCCCAACTTTCCCAGTTGCCTTCACCTTGCTGTAGAGACTGGAGACTCTTGTGACCTGCGGGCATCTGCCGGAGGGGAGCTCCTGTGGCTTTGGACCCAGTTGAGGTGGCCACTGGGTGGCCAGGAATCTCATGCCGATCGGAAGGAGCTGACACTGAAGAGCTTAGTAGGAGTCCCCTGCAGGCAGGGTTAGGGTCTGTTGCTTTACCTTCTTCCCAAAGGAGACCCACACACAGTGCTGAGAGCCCTGGCACCGGGCAGAAGCATTCTGTGGGTGCTCAGAGTGGGAGAAGCCCCCAGACTTGGCACCTGCATTACACCTTTGGTTTCCTTTGTCCTATTTTTACATCTTTTTTGAATTCAACCATTAAGATCCTGATGGAGACAGAAAAACTTACCCTCACTTTTGTGTGTGTGTGGATTGAGTTCTGCTTTGCACGTGCTAGGCAAGCCCACTTTATTGATGGGTTTTTGCTGATTGCCTTAGGCTTGCTTCAAACTTGAGATCCTTTTGCCTCAGCCTTTTGGGTACCTGGGATTATGGGCATGGGCTTTCTGTTGCTCCTCTTGGTTAACAAGCCATGTGAAGGAGCGCTAGTTCTCTCCGAAAGGCAGACAGCTGCGAGCGCTGCTGCAAGTGCCCCAGGAGGGAAAGGGTTCCGCTTCCCAGCTGTGGTTGGAGCCCAGATTGAGTGGGAGGGGCACCAGCCCACTGGAGGGCCTGACCTGTTAACACTCAGATGGGCTGGAGGAGCAGCCATCTCTGAGGCCTGCTTCTGTCCTGGAGCTGGGTGTGGGCTTGGCCAGCTTCAAGCCCTCTGGCTATGCTGATTCTCTGCTGCCACTTTGCTCCCCTTTTGGGTAGAAAGGTCCTATATTGGGTAGTAATGACCTGGGGGCCATTGAGCCAGCTTCTTTCTGGCAGCCCAGCTTTTTTTTCCCCCTGAGGGTCTTGCTGCGTAGCCCATGCTGGTCTTGAATTCAGGGCAATCCTGCTTCAGTCTTTCAAGTGCTGGGATTACTCTGGGCCCCTTATCTACTCTGCTCTCTAATTAGTGGATCTTTTCTCATCTGCTCCTGTGTGCTTTTCATCATCTGAACCTGGCATGGTATTTCCTGTTAATCTGTAGCATCTTCACTGCTGTTCCAGGCTGGTTTCCTCCAAGTTTGGACAGACTTTGTGGCCCTCTGTCCTGAGGCTCAGCTGCCCTTAGACCTGGAGTGTTGACACCAGTTCCTCAAGGGAATTGGGGGGGGGGGTGCCCCCATGCTGACTACTTGCTGAGGATTTTCAAGTTCTCTGCAGCCTCTGGTGTCAGATTAGAAAGAACCATGTGAGTTTGTGGACCACTGCTCTCCTCCCCTCCTCTCCCAGAAGATAGTTTGCTTTTTAAACACCTGCATTGGCTAGTTTCTCAGACACCGTCTCTTGTTTGCTGCTTGTTTTTAAATAATGGAGTTTTTTTGTTCAGGCTCTCTGCATAGCACAACACTGTGTGGAGCCATGGGGACCCCACTTTAAACACAGGCTGCTCTCTCCTGCCCAGCTGCAGGCCTTGGCCTGTTTCCCACATGATACCCACCTAGCCTGCTCCCCTGGGGTTCCACACGTTGGTGCAGCATGGCTACTTCTGTTCTCCTGTGTCTGTGCCCTGTCTTTGGCCCTGCACTAGCGGTGGCTATAGCTGTCCCTTGGTTCTCTGCACAAAGCCTTCCTGTCGAGCGTCCAGCAGATGCACTTCTGGACCTCCCGCTTCTGCTTACATTTGCTCTGTCGATCTCTTTACCTGGAAGCCTGTGAGCACAGATTCTGTTTTGTTTCTTCCTCTGATACAGTATAAAAGGATTCCCCTCTCTGGGTGGCTGCCCTGTGAGGCCCTCCAGATGGCTCCTGAGTCAGCCCACTGCCTGCCCTGCCCATGCTGCCTCTGCATCTTTGCTCACACATGGCGTGCCACCTCTGACTTTGGTGTCCTCCTTGCTTCTCAGCCCTGCACCTGACCCCAAACTGTCCTGTCTAAAATATGGCCCAGTTCAAGGCAAGGCTGGAGATGTAAAGGGGACACTGACACCTGTCCTGGGGTGGCTTACATCAGTTAGGGTGGGTACGTCTTAGCCTTGGTTGCTGTCTTGATGTGATTTATTTTTATAAACATAAGCTAATTATTTAGGGTTCCAATGCAGCACACCTGAGCCTGGCTCTGGCTCTGGCTCAGGTGAGCAGCTTTAAGTCACTGCTAAGGCTCCCGGGAGTGCCCCAGGCTCCATCCATCCTGCCTTCCTGCTGCTGAGTGATTTGGAGAACAGACAGACCCCTTCTAGTTGTCTTCTCTTGTGTGTTTCCTCTGTTCTGTCTCAGGTGTGGTTATCACTTTACTGTTTCGCAGGTGCTGGGGAGGCCTCTGGCTGCTGCAGGGGTGGAGGCAGTGGGGGTCTGAGTGTGTGTGTGTTGTCTTACAGGACTGTGAGGGGGAAACTCCCATTCACAAAGCCGCCCGCTCCGGGAGCCTGGAGTGCCTCAGCGCCCTGGTGGCAAACGGGGCTCGCACTGAGTAAGTGTCTTCCCTTCTTCCCCCAGCCAGCCAGAGTCCAAGACGTGGTCAGGGAGTCCGAGACGTGGTCAGGGCAGCACTTAGAGCAGGTGGAGGCCCCAGGGGCATGGCCTTTCCTATCACTGCTGTTAGTGAGGACAGTGTAGGTACATTTGAGCTCTTGCAGCAGGGGCTGCATGCCCACAGTGGTCTTAGGCTACATGTCACAGGCCAGGCTGCCAGGACAGCCAGCTCGAGCACCCTGACCTTGCCACTCACTAGTCCTGTCATTGTGGCTGGTCTTCTGCTTTCCTTTGCCAGCCCTTCACTAAGGGCTTGAAGGGAATATCCTTGCAATCTTTTCTGGCTCAAACATTCTCAAGAAGACAATGTGCTTTTTTCTAAGTTTTGATTCCTCATCTTAGCAGATGCAGGAGGTCAAATTTCAGAGCCTGTTAATGATTTAAGGGCTCGTAGATCCTGGGAAACCAGACTGTCAAGACCACGGCATTATGCAGGAGAGCCTTGCTGTGGCCCAATTTACATTGGCTAGCTTATTTACGGCTACTGTTACCAGGTGGCTGATAAAACAACCTTAATATGCAAATGAGCTTTAGAAATGTGATCCTGTATGCAAATCATTAGCTGTGGCATCATACATTTTATTTATTAAATTATAATTTAACTTTCTCTTAAAGATTATATAATAAATTTTTTTCTTTGCAGTTCACAGCATTAACAAATGGATGTTTTTCCATCCTTAAACATTGAGTATAAGCTGGAAAGCTCTAATAATTGAGATACTACTAGCTTTTTGTTATACCTTAAATGTCATAAATAATTCATAAAATTTATTATTTGTTCTAATTGAAAACATGAAGCTTTATTTTTAGACTCTGGGAGAAGTAGAATCACAGAACTAACCGAGTTTAACCCTTTGGTTTCCATGTCGTTGTTTTGACTCTGTATAACAGTAAGTTTTTTTAGATCCTGGACAACAAACCATGCAGGTCAATGTGAGGCGCTGCTCCATGGGAGAGGCTGTCGCTGGCCTCCCCGTCTTAGCTGTCTCGCTGAGCCTTCGGGCTTGGACCCTTTACTTACGGCGTGAGTTGTGGCCTGTGTTAACCGCCACGATGCAGGGACCCTTGTGACTTAACACGCAGTTATGACATAAGGTAAAGTAACAAGACTGGGTAATGTGGATCTGTATCTCCAGCCTTAGAACACTAAGGTGATTCTCCACAAATGGCTCTGGGTACAGGTGAAGTTTATCAGCTGTGTGTAGATTAAAAACTCAGCTCTTTAATTCTAGTAACAAACTTTGATTATAAAATAGTCATTTATAACATAATTGATTAAATTGCTTAATTATCATTAATTGAAATAATAGGTAATTGGAAGTTGATCTTTTAACTTTTCTAAACAATACTCTAATGGTCCTACACATTTCATTACAAAGGTGATAGCTTAATCTTTTGAGCCAGTATCTATCATGGTGTCCTTGTCTTCAGCAGGTGTCTTTTTCAACATGAGCATCTTTTATTCACAATTCTGTCCTTGGTTACAGGCCCTCCAGTGTCTCTTTCCCACCAGGTGTGGCTGGAGAGCCCGTCTGCCCCATCCCAGTATTAGCGCCCCCACTCGAGACCCTGCATTTTGGCTACTTCCCTGGACCGTGTGTTCAGGTTTTTTTAGAAGAAAGAAACATTTAGCCTGAGCTGCCTAGCCAAAAGCAGTTCTTAAAACTCTTTAAGTCTTTGGCCTGGAGAAAAACATCAAGAAATCATTATTTATTGCTGTTATGAATGTGGTTGTTTAGAACATCTAATAAAACATCAGTTTTGCCTGCCAGGTAAATGGAAATGTTTCTGGTGTCCGACCTGCACCTTTCATAGCTCACTCCATCCAGCCAGTCAGCATGTCTGCAGCGTGGGTCCCCAAGGCAGCGCTGTTCAGGTCTGCTTTGTCTGTTTCCTGTGATACTGCACATGCAGTCAAGTACAGTGACACCTTTTTTATAAGAACGATCAAAGACAATTCGTTCATTTAAAGGTACTTAAATTTTTTTTGCGGTTCGGAATGGGCTAGACTGCAGTTCTTTATTTTACATTCTGTAATACAGCCTTTTCCTGTGAATCCATTAAAAACTGCCTCACACCATTATTTTTAAATTAATATTTTCATCTTAATTCCCACTTGGCTTTTTATAAATCTGCTACATTAAAGTGGCCAAAGTCTAACCATATGTGTGTTTGGTCATCAGGTAGATATAAGGCAGGTGTGTTAAGAATCTATGACTAGAATGGTTTGTTACATAACTTACTTGTCAATGTAGGTTGCCACTGTAAGATAACGCATTTCAGCTGCTGTGCATCGTATTAAATTTTCTAGCACCACACGTGAGTATTTTAATAGACTTTTGTTTTCTCTTAATTGAAATCTTGAGTTTTGGTGCCAAGTTACCTTTTCCATGTGCATTTCTGTTTCTGGCTGGTGTGATGGCCCTGAATATTTGCCATTGCCTGCATCTAAAACTTTACCCCATAGGGTGATATCTGAGTTCTGACCACAGGTTTGCATATGTTACAGGATCTAAGGCTCGCAGTTTCACTATTGTGCCAAATCCAAATGGCCTTTCTTCTGTTCTTGGGAGCTTCCATCGAAGTCTGTGCTCACTGCCTGCTTCCCGAGGCGGGCTTTGCTGGAGGGTGGGTAGGACCTTGCAGAAGAAGCTGTAACCAGGCTTACACAGTGCCTGACAGGAAGGAAGAAAGGAAGGAAAGGCCTGAGGTTAGGTCTTGATGTGATTTTGGAGAAAGGCATAATATAATGTCTGGTGATAACGGAGACTATTTCTAATGCTGAAAAGAGCTTTTGAGTCTTAGTTTCATTGTTAGATTTTTGGCCACCTTGTGTATTTCTAGAGAAAGTAGAGGATGTTTCCATATTGACCAGCTGTGAGTATAACTGGTCTCTTCTCCTAAATAGAAGTAAGGGACCCACCTGGACGTAGAAGTCAGAGTTGCCTTTCTCTGGGCTCTCTGTATCCCCGTGCACCCACCTGGTGGAGTGGGCCACATAGTCAAGAGGCCTGGGCGCCCAGGAGGAGCCGCGCTGGTGCCAGGCTTCTGGAAAAGGAGGCACAGCCTGGGCCAGCGGCCTCAGCACAGTCTTCTTGCCAACCATCACTTTCTGGAGTGACAGAAGTCTAAAGTGTGACGGTGCTTAATGCTGTAAAACTTGAGGCTGGATTTTTAGTTCTTAACGGAAATAAAATTGCTTTAGTTAGGTTCAGATTGGTGCCCCTGTGTGACCCACCTTTATTTTTTATCACAGAGCCCAGCTGGAAAGCAGAGTTTCTACCAGGACAGACTTTGGCTTAGAATGAACACCCTTGGTCCAGGGTCAGAAACGCAGTGCAGCTGTGTGAGGCAAAGGGAGCTCAGATTTACTGTACTGGCCACTGATTTTGGAACTGTGTGGTCCTGTTCACTGAATAATAGCCATCAGGAGACCTGTTAGAATTAGGGCTCGGGTTGGTGTCCTGGTGATATAGGCCTTTGCATAGTTACTCTTCGTGTCCTGGCACTGGCCTCCCTCATCTGACTGTCACTGCTGGCTGTGTCTTGCCTTTCTGTTCCTGCGGGGGTGTGTGCTCTGGGTGCAGGATCACGTCCCATGGTGCTGTCTTGGAACCTTCTGCCAGGCAGGTGTGGACAGCAGGCTGACTATGCTCCAGAGCTGACACATTTGGCTCAGAAATGTATTTTTCAAAACTGCTGGAATATATGGGCAACTTCTGCTTTTATGGACAGTGTTTTCAAATCAGATCAACAGTTTGTAAGCTGCAGTGTCTTTCTTTGCTAAGCTACATATACTGCAGTGTCTTCTTTGCTAAGCTACGTATCACATCAAACTCTCTGAGCAGTGGGTGCTCTTACATTTTAATGTATGCAAACATAACTGTGGTTCAGTTGTAGCATCAAACTGTCCTTGGGAATATTGAACTTGAAATGGAAACTTGGCACCAAATTTATCCAGGCAGAAACTTTTAATATAATAGTTTCTTCCTGCTCTTAACGTGAAGAATGTTTATAAAACTTCATTATATTAAGTTTGGATACCAAAGGGTTAAAAATACACGTGTATTTCTTTTATCGAAGATACTTTAGATGTTTGCTAATGTTTTGTCTGTACAAATGGGCATTTAGTAATGTTTTTTATCTTTTTTTAATGATTCCATTTATTTGCTTATTTCCATCTAGGAATAGTTACTAATGTATTTGTGATACAGCATACCAAATTTTAAAGTAACCAGAATCGTGAGTTGATGGTTTTTAGTCCCTACTGTTAAATTTCGTTGAACTATTGACATACTTGAATTGGCTTCATGCTGAAAGGACCAGAGGGAGCATAGTGGGCAGCGATGAGAGCAGCCGTGCTGCGCTCAGGCGTCTCTGGCCAGCAGCGCGGCGCAGCTGCTGCCGGCTCCTCATGGGTGTGTATGTATCTTAATCTGGTGTTGCCTGCAATGTGATCCCGTATGCTTTATAAGTTTCCATGTATGAACCATTGCCCGTTTTAAGTCACACAGAAGATTCTGAATCTGTAAAAACTACACATGTCAATGTTTTCCAGCTACGTAATTCGAATTGACTTGGTTTTTTCAAGTAATCCTAGAAAGGGGGAACATTCCATATAGAAACTGCTGAAACTGCCACAGGTGCTTCTCCGAAACCTTACGGTTGTGGCATTGAATGTTCAGTATCGCTTCCTTTCTGCACACAAGGCATACTGTTGAGGTATTTGTTGCGGTGATTGGTTTTAATGCTAATCTAGGAATTCAGATATAGATACTTTAGATTTGCATGCTTTGCTTACCCTAATTTATGATATCTACCTTTTATTTGTAAACTAACAATAGCTAAATTGAGATCAGAATTTTAACAGATATACTTTTATAGAAAAATTGTGGTTTATCTTTGTCACATGGCATTAACAAAAAGAAAGCATCCTAGAGGTTACCATGACACCTTGGGCAATAAACACCGTATTTCAGGTGTTTTCTAATCTGTGATTTTTTTTTAAAATTCAAAACAAAACAAAACCTCCTACTTGAGTGGCTTCGCTGTTCTGGTATCGTGGCACTATCAGTGAAAACCAGAGGGCCAGCTGGTCCCCAGGGGGAGTTCTCACGGTCATCTTCATGCTCAGTGTCCTCACAGAAAATAAAGAGGGTGACTTTAACATTGATGCTTGGGCAGGCCACTGAATTCTCAGTGGAGGTTCTAACATCTGCCCCAAGTGCTGGCATCACGATGCACAGGGCCAGCCGGAGGTGTTGGAAGACACAGCGGCTGTTGGGCAGGGCTGCACGACGCAGTCCTGTTCCACAAATGGCGGTCTGGGTTTCTGTGAGATCACTCCAGATTGAGCTGACCAGCATGAGAGCTGATTTGCCAGCTTCCTTCAGAGTAAAAGCAATGTTTAACTCAGCAGAATTGGAATTGGTTTGAACGTTAAGATGTCTTAATTTTTACAACTGCTCATTTTCCAAGATTCCCTGGATGGATGTTGGAGTGGAGAGAGCGGCCAGGGCTTGGAGCAGCCTCCCTGGACTCTGGCCTTTGGCGCCAGGCTGCGCTGCACTGAGACTGGAGCGAGGGTCAGGTGTGTGTGCTCCGAGGTTTGTCTATATACAGGACTTGTACAGTTTCCTGGCTGTCAGCTGTTGTGAAAATAGTTTTTGAGCCCACTGTTGACAGTTTCCTCCAGCAGCTTAGATTTCCTTGGGAAGAGCATAAATTCTGCAGTGCTGTCAGCTCTGTCCTTCCTGATGAGTAGAGTGTCCAGGGCCCTACGTCCAGGTTCTGATGTCCGTGGGCCCCACAGTGCAGGCCAGCTGCTAGCTCCACAGGGGAGCGGGCCTAGAACTGAGTCTTTCTGCCACCTCCCTGGATGGAGGGGCTGCTTTAACTCCCACACTACAGTGCGCAGTGACAGATCGGCTGCTTCTTCACCAGGGCTACTGTCCTACCATTAAAACCCACACAGAGTTGATCAAAAGACCTGATCCTTTTTATTTAAACTTTGCTTTGAAGAAGTCTCAGAGTGTAGCACAGAGCATGCCTGCGTGCATGAGGCCCTCATTTGTTTTCAGCACTGCAAAAATGGTTTTTAAAAAATAAGAAGACCTAGTATTTTGAGACCCGTGTATCTGACGATTATTTCTCTTTAGAGCTTAGAGGCCCATGTAGCTTTCCACCTCTGGTGCATTCGAAATGCAGCAGCAGGGAGTAGCAGCTCGGACACCCCCAGCAGGCAGCAGCTGCTCACCCACCCTTGCCATGGGCGCTTGGCCAGGATGGCACTGCTGGGGAGGGGGCACATGCTGGATTTTCTTGTTTAATGATTTTGGCAGCTTTTTAAAAGTTACCTTTTATTTGTACGAATAGTGGATTGAATGATGTGTGAGACTGATAGACCTCAGAGGAAACTGTTGGAGGTAGACCAGTGTCTCATTGATTGGTCTGGCTAAGTGTTATTCAGCAGGTCTGGCGCATGGCTGAGAAGAGTTTATCCTTTTAGAGGGTTCCAAGAGCAGTACTGTGTAACCTAAAGTTCTGTGAGATGCAGATTTCAGAGTTTCCGTTGTCAGCTTTCTGTGGCCTCTGCCCACAAAGAGTGTTGAGTAGTTGGGACTGGGTGTGGCCCATCCTGTGGATAGGGTGCCCACTGTTGTGGCTGGCCTGTGGGGTGTGAGGGCCCTACAGGGAGGTTGAGGTGAGCAGAGCAGTGTGCAGGACTAGGCAGCGGTGGCAGGTGGGGTGCGCAGGGAAGTCAGGTGAGGTTTGCACGGTGTCTCTGGGGCATGGGCATAGTGACCAGATAACAAAGAGTTCTGCTTCCTTTCCCAGTACTCAGCTGCAGAGTGGAGAGACTCATCCCTTCCTCCCAGGGCCCTGTGTCCCTAGACCTGATGTCCATCTGGGATGTTGTCTAGAGGCCTGCCGCTCTTGGTGTGGTGTGTGACCAATCCCTGTGGTGGTTGATGGTGGGGATATGTGGTACAAGCTGGCTGTTGCCCTCCGCCTGAGAGTGCTTCTTTCTGTTACAGCAAGTGTGGAAGGGGGATCCCACCAGGGCTGAGTAGGAGGACCACTGCCAGCTCACACCCTTCAGGCAGGCAAGGAGACCTGGCTAGCCTCATGGGGAACAGGGAGCAGCGAGCACCCCTGCTGCCTCAGAGCCACGCTGGTCTCCTCACTTTGCTGTGCCCAGCCTGGCCTGGGGAGGGTCAGTGCATTCTGAGAAAGCTGTGGGCGCTGCTCTTCCATCCTGCTTTCGGTGCTGCTGTTTGCCTGATATCAGATGGCAGAGTAGCGCTGCTGCGCTCTTGGGTGTGGACGAGCAAGACCATGATGCCTGTGCCTCTGCCTGTGTCCCCTGTCTTTGTTTCTGGACAGAGTAGACTTGTCTGGGCTGACCTTGCACTGTTGCCCTCTGAAGATGAAGCTCGTGGTTTAAATCAATCAGTGGGAGTTCACTCAGTCCAACTTTTTCACTTAATTTATATATCAAAAATAATGTGGAGTGCATATTCATCAGAATTTACTTCTTTGTTTTTTTTTTTTTTTTTTTACTGTCGATCAACCTCAATATCTCACACTTGCCAGGCAGGCGCATACACTTGAGGTAAATCCCCAGCCCCAGCTTTGGATTCTTATTGTAGGTTAAAATGTCAATGTTAATTCCTAATTGTCCTATACATATACCTTCTATTTTTTTTTTTTGTTTTGTTTTGTTTTTTGTCTTTTTCCTTTTTATCGGTACCAGGGATCGAACTCACGACTGCCTGCTTGCAAGGCAGGTACTTATGCCGCTGAGCTAAATCCCCAGCCCCTATACCTTCTATTTTTAAGAAAATTTTGTTGATTTCTGGGGTTCTCAAGTCTTGTCTTCTTATAGTTTATTGAATTGGCTTTGTCTGTCTAGACACTGTCTCTCTGTCTTGTGGTTCAGGAAAGAGATGCAACCAGTGAGTGTCTGAAACCTTTTAAGGGGTCCCTGAGGCCAGAGCTGGTGCAGTGTTGCTAGGACAGGGACATGGGCTGTGATTGTCCTCATAGTTAAAGTGGCATACTCTTTGGTGGTCCTGCTGAGTGCCAAAGTCCATACAGTGTGGCAGCGTGGGGTGGGGTACGGGCAGGGGTGGGAGGACCTGACTGGAGCTTGCTTGCGGAGGTATGTTGTTCCAGGCAGTGTGTCTGGTCTGACATCCAGCGAAGGGCAGCATGGAGTTGCTTTTGTTCTCTGTAGAATTCTGTGCCCTGGTGCCTTCAGGTCCAGCTGATTGTCCCATTTTCTTCCGATCCTGCACCTGAGTTCTGCCAGGACTTTTGGCCTGAATCTGAGCCTCGTTTGCTGTTGGAGCCAGAGGCTGTTACTCACTCTTTGGTGTCCTAAGCCAAGTGAGGTGCTGGTCCTTGTGGGGGTAGTGCAGGGTGCCTAGCCAAAGGGGCATCCACTGGGACAACGAGGGGTGTCAGCAGGTGTCACTCCAGCAGGCCTAAGCAAGGCCAGAAACTTGGGCTAGACTGTAGCTTTTCAGCTGGCGATTGGTGGTCACCTGGGCAGCATAGGGCACCTGGACTTCACTCATAGCGCCACGTCCCAGCACAAGCCTGGCTTGTTGGGAAGCCGATTCCTCTGAATGCCATGGGCAATTTCAGTTCATGTTTGTTTGCTATGATTTTACTGAGGCTAAAGGATGGGTTATTAAAATAAGTGCAGATAGCAAAGGATCAACTTTCAGGTGAAGTCTGAAGTTCACTTAAATTTAGAGTCTTCAGACTAATGTAAAACATGATTTTGAGACATTAAATAGGAAGATGACTTTTTTTAAAAAGTGTAGTATGCTGATTTTTTTAAAATTACTGTCACCCAAATCTTAGAAATCAGATATGTTTAAGAGAAGTTAGTTAGGAGCTAGGATGGTAAACTGCTCCTTTAATGAAGATTTGCTGTAGATTTGTTGACTCTTGTGTCACTCTCAGATAGATAGTCAGATCAGCAGGAGCAGACCAGGCTCGAATGCACTCGGGGGTAATTCATTTTTTTTGTGTTGTACAGCCTGAGAAATGCCAGTGGCCTGACGGCAGCAGACATTGCCCAAACCCAGGGCTTCCAAGAGTGCACCCAGTTTCTCTTGAGCCTCCAGAGCTGTCAGCTGAGCCACTTCTGTCCTAATGGCCCCTTGAGTGGAGCTCAGGAGAGCCTGTTTCCCAGCCACACTGGCACGGGAACAAATCGAAAGAGGTGCTTGGAAGATACGGAGCCCTTGGGCGTGAAGAAAGCTAGGACTGGAGGTGAGAGCCCTGGCCTGGGCGGGGGTGCTCCTGGGGGAGGGGCTGTGGTGACCGCTCAGACACAACTGTGCCTCTAGTTTCTCGGCACCCAGTTTGCTTCCGTCATCAAGAGGATGTTTTTTTGTCTATTCAGACTATGACTCTATTACAAGAAATCTGCCACTGTCCCCGACTGTTGGCTTCTCACAAATGTTCCCAAGCTTAAAAGTTGTTGATCTGGCAGGAAGAAGTTTTTTCCTGCTTGGGAGGTGACTGGTTTTGGTACAGTCACTTCAGGCTGAGTGCCTAGCCATCCCTGGCCCCTTGACTTCATCGCAGGTGTCACGAAGAGGATCGAAGGTAAGTAGGGAGAGGAGCCTTCCCCAGAGGCGGCAGTGGGCACCACAGAGGAGTAACCAGGGTGACCACACCTGGCCTGTGGTGTATTCTCCAAAATGCTGTCCAAAAAACAGGGCAAGATGTCTTTAAAAGAAAAAAGCACTTTATTTAGGCTGATACCCAACAACACAGTGCAGTGAAGTTTGCAAAGCTGTGCAACTAGGTTAGACCACAGGGTTACCAGGGTAACGACACATAGAGAATAAGATGGTGGTATTTTGGTTGGAGCATAACATTCCCCACTGATTTTTGTCGCTGAGTCAAATCATTGACTCATGGAAGGGGCTTCAGTTAGGGGTATCTTTTCATAGTCTTGTGTCCTTAAGGTCATTAATTTAACAGTTTGAACTTGGTCTTTAACTTAACAATTTCTTTATAATACAAGGCACAATAGTTACACAGACTAGGAGGATTAACAAAGGTCCTGTAGCCACTAAAGTTGTTAACCAAGTGGAGAAACAAAACCAACGTTCAAACCGGCTCTGTTTTGCCTGCCAGGCTTGTTCTTGTTTTTGCAATTGCTTTTTTGAGGTTAGCCATGTTCTACCTGACAACTCCAGAATGATTGACATACAGACAGCAGTTTTTCCCTAAAGCCAAACAGCCCTCCTTTTAAGAATAGGAGATCTAGTCCCGTTGGTTTTATAAAACCATCTCAACCAGGGAACTCAAGGAATCTTTCAGCTTGGAGACAGAATCGCTGAGTGTGGCTAGATCTGCTTGATAGGAGCACTTAAGTGCCTGTAATTCTGGTGTCCGATTACTAGGCTGGACACTCGTATACCCACTGATCCTGCCACCCCAGTATCTACAAAAGTATTTTATCTTTAAGGACTGTGAACACCTCCAGGTATGATAATCTCTTCATGGCATACTGTCCTATTTTGATCCTCTTTTTTGATCCGTCTAATTTTTACTGGGATCTTATTTAGCAGAGCACATAAATCTAGTTTAATTATCCCATAGACAGTGGTGTTGGTTGCCAGCATCTCACCAGTATTGTAACCAGTTATCTTCCAAGTTCCAAACTGAGGATTATGAAACGTGCCCCTGAAGTCTTCATAAGGTAGTACCCATAGGAACAAGACTATTAGGTACATTTGGCAATGTTTAGCTTTAAAGGGGTCCTTGGAGGGGGTAACAGTCCACTTATCTGCAGGTCGATCTCCGTTGGAGGCCGGGACCAGCTTGAAGTGGGAATGATGGATCCAGGCAGGTTTTTCCAGTGACTTTGACGGCGGTTGGAATGCTGAGGAGCACTGTGTAGGGGCCCTCCCACCATGGTTCAAGAGATTCTCGGTGATGTCTTCAGATGAGGACTAGTGTCCCAGGTTCCACTGCAGGACGGTTGTCCTCGGAATGGATTACAGGCGGAGGATGAGGATGTCAGAATAACCAGTGGATGGAAGTCAAAACTGGCGAACAGCCGGGGGGTGGGGGATGGGGGGGCTTGGTTGGCTAGATCAGCTAGTTTTTCTTCAGAAATTTTAGGGATGAGGGGAGAGGGTCTCCTATATACATCCTCAAAAGGAAATACCTGTAACATAGGAGGTACATCACTCACAAGAGGACCAAAGGAGACTCACCCATTTCTTGCCAGTTTCCTAGGCCATCTTAGTTAGCACCATTTTTACAGTTTGGTTTATTCTTTCTACTTGTCCTGAATGCTGAGGCTGGTAAGCACAATGGAGTTTCCAATCAATCTGCAGGCTTGGGTCAGTTTTTTAGTTAACTGGGCTATAAAAGCCAGGCCGTTGTCAGACCCCATGGATAAGGGGAAGCCAAATCAGGGAAACTGCTATCAAGGCTCAGACTTAGTAGGAAAAGCTTCAACCCATCTAGTGAAAGTATCAACTATTACTAGTAAGTACTTATACCCTACTTATACCCAGGATTTCCCATCTGTGAAATCTACTTCCCAATGTTCTCCAGGCATGGTCCCATGGTAGCAAGTGGTTTATATTTGTTCCATTCGCTTTGGGTTCACTAATTGACATTGAGGGCATCTGAGGCTTACAGACTGGGTAAGCTTTGAGACCATCCCCCTGGGATATTAGGCTTTTCTCGAAGTTGAGCTGCCAGATGCAAGTCTTTTCAAGTGTAAATGGGCTCTGACAGAGTAGGTGGGATCAGCAGTAATGTCAGGGCTGTCTCAATCTCCACTGATTTTGTGGCCACCTTTTGGGTGGTGGCATCTGCCATATTGTTTCCTCATATAACAGGATCATCTCCCATTTGATGGGTTTTACAGTGGGTGATAGCCACTTGTCTCAGCATCCAAATGGTGGCCAACAAATCTAAAATTTGGGGAGCATTTTTGATCTTTTGGTCTTTAGAAGTAAACCCTGTTCTTCATAAATGGCCATATGAACATGAGCAGTAGCAAATGTGTATCTTATCAGTGTAAATATTTATTATCTTTACCTTCTGGCAACTTGAGGGCCTAAGTGGGGGCAATGAGTTCAGCCTGTTGGGCCAATGTTCCTGACTCCAAGGTTTGATCCCATAGAATCTGAGAGTCTGGTAACGACAGCTCCTGTGACCCACTTACCTTAAAGATGTAACTGCTCCCATTGGAGAAGTATGATGAAACTGGAAAGGGGCTCATTCATCAAGTCCAGTTGGAGCCCCATGAGGTGACCAATAACCTCAATACAGTCGTGGAGGGGTCGTCATCAAGCAGCAGAGAAAGGATTTAAAGCTGCTATCTCCTTGAAACTGATAGTAGTCAGATCTAGAAGTAGTGCCTGATAGTGCATGATTTGGGAGTTGGGGCAGCCACCAGTTTGGTGGAGCCTTGAGGAGGGTCTCCTGCGAATAGGAGGAGACAATTAAGAGCTTAGATCCAAAAGTTAATTTTTAAGCCTCCTTTACCAGGAGGAAATAACATACAAACAGCATGGCCATCCAGCTGCCCTGTTATCAAGCCTATTGGAAAGATAGGCAACAGGCCTCTTCCATGGTCCCGAACTCTGGGTCAGTACTACTTTTGCTATCCCTCATCTCTCATTGATGTAGAGGGCAAAGGGCTTTTGCAGGTCTGGCAGTGCCAAGGCAGGAGTCTCAGTTAAGCCTAGTTTCAGCTGTTTAAAAGCCTGATCTTAGAATCTGTCCACTCTAGAGGATCCTAGGTAGCTCCTCTTAAAGAGTCATAAAGGAGGCTGAGCTATCTGAGCAAAATTATTAATCCAAAACCGGCAGTGTTCTAAGGCTCCTAGAAATTCTCGCACTTGGTTTTTAGTCACAGGGACTGGAATCTTGGATGGCTTGCACCTGCTGGGAGGAAAAAGTCCATTTTCCTTCATGGATTTGGTAACCTAAGTAGGTCACTATGCTTTTGGCATAGTTGGCCCTTTTTAGCAGAGACCTTATAGCCCAGTTCATCTGAGGCCCACTGAGGAGCTTGGGGCAGACATTTTGCCAATGCCCCTTTGTAAAAAGCACATTGATTTTTATCTAGGGGGTGGACGAGACTTTGCATCAGGCTGGGTGACTTTGTTAGCTAGCATTCCCAGCACCTTGTCCACTTCTGGGCATTAGGGTCCTCCCGGTTGTCAAATATCTTTTAAGCAATCTCTAATAACTAACGGAGGGGCATTTCCTCAAATCCCTCAAGCTTTTGCAATTTTCGCTTAATATCAGGGGCTGACTGGGTTACAAAGGGAATATTAATGGCCCTTGCACTTTCAGGTGCTACCAGACCTATGAGAGTATAAATGCATTAGGCCTCTAGCAATCTTTCCAGAAACCCTGAGGGAGACTCATTAGCCAATTGTCCTCTGAAACCTTGGACAGATTGGGAGTTTTCTGGCAGAGCCAACTGGCGATGCCAATCAAGAGCCTCCTCACCTCCAGTCGTGGCACGACAAAGGGAAAACGCGGTTCTGGCATTCGGGATCAGAGGATGGGTTTCAATTAGGATTGCACACTGCTTTTTAGTCCAGAGTGCAAACACGCTCTCTCTCTTCTGCTATAAACAGAACCTGCAAAATCTGCTGGCAGTCATGCCAAGTGGGGTGATGAGTGGAAAAGATAGATTCCAAAAGAGAAATAAGGCCCTGAGGATCCTTAGAAAAAGGGGGATGAGGAAGAGGAGTCAGGTGATTCTGAACACTGATGGCTCCTAGTCCAAATGGGACTGAGAATTACAGTCCTTTTTAATGTTTATTTCCATTGGCAAATATATTTTATATAATGGTCAACACTGACGTACCATTATATAAACTTGTGATGAAAAAGGGCTCCAGTTTGTTTACTGATCCAGTGCAGATTCTGAACACATTTGTTTCTTTTTTAAACCTATTGTTTATAGGTACCACACACCGAAGCAAAATTTACATCCCCTTGAGCTTTCTAGTACTTACTGTATACCTTCAAGTTGAGCTTTTTCTATCTTTCACATTCTAGCACAGCCAGACATTTTTATTTGAAGACAAAACCACTTTGTCCCTCTTTTTTCTTTCTTTCTTTTTTTTTTTTTTTATTAAACTTACTACCAGTCAATTACCTTCCCTCTGGTTTTTCAGACAACATTAAAACTTTAAACAAAATCGTTGAAGTCACTTTCTTTCAGTAGTCTAAAATATGTTGAGTCATTTCATGTGTTTTTTACCACCTTAAAATGCTATACTTTAAAAACTGTAACTTTAGGGGCTGGGGTTTTGGCTCAGTGACATAAGCACCTGCCTTGCAAGCAAGTGGTCGTGAGTTCAATGCCCGGTACTGATAAAAAGGAAAAAGACCAAAAAAAAAAAAAAAATGTAACTTTCTTAACAGGCTCAATAACAGTGTGACCTGGTTTCACTTGTTAAAGTTAATATGACTTTAAAAACCCATATATATACATACATACATACATACACATTTTACTCAGAAAGAATACTTTTTAAAGACATGCCGAGGCAATCAGTTGAGGACTAAAACATGAATTTAAGAAACGATTTTCATTATGACCCTTGAGTCCAATAGGCCACATGGAACCTGCAACAGAAAGGACAAGTTCAAATAGGCAGTGAGCACCTAGGTAACAAATTCAAGTTCAAATGGAGAAATTAGTAACATTGCCCCAAAGTACAAAAACTGAACATAAAGAGAAATGGGCAAAAAGCCACTGGAGGGCGTCTCTGCAGAAAGCACTGGGCTTGCCTGCTGTTACAAATGTATGCACCCATAATGATGAAAAACCCCAAGTTACAAACAATACTTAGAGATGTTAAGCTGATTGTTGAAGAATAATTTGGAGAGGGGTCCTTGAAATATCCCGGATGAGCCCCCCAAAATGAGATGATGTTTAAAGTGCTTTGTTTAAGCTGGCACCAGCAGCAAAGTAGTGTTGGAATTTGCAAAGCTGTGCAACTAAGTTAGATTTTTGGAAGGCTTATAAAGAAAAAAATGCATAGTGGGGGTGGGAGGGGATATGGATGAAGAAAGCCTTTTGTTCCCTATTTGATTTGGGGGCAGTTTTTCTGCTTAGTTGCCTTGCGGAAATTTGTGCAGCTGGTGGTCAATGAGTTCCTTACAGGAAACTTGGCAACTTGGGGTCTGCTAATTCCAGGAAAAACTGTCTTTACCAAAAGGAGACAAACATTGAGACAGCACAAGGTTACCAGGGTAATGATGCGTGCAGAACAAGATGGTGTTTTGGCTGGAGTACAACATGGTATTTGGGTATCAGTGGTCAAGGGCTCATGAGAGGAGCCATTAGCCCCACAAACAGATCATTGCCTTCAGTTTCTTGTGGGGGCAGCAGCTGGCTGTGTTGGGCCACTCGCCACACCTCGGGCGTCCAATGGGACAGGCCTTCCTGTCCAGTTGAAAACTTCTATTGCACAGCTGGGGAAAGCTCATCTATAAAAATGTAGTGACTCTTGCTGCTTGTAGAATAAATGTGTGAGCTGAAATGTAATTGTGATCAAAATTATGATTTGGGAGGGTGTTTATAGACACAGGGTTTTAATTTACAGTTCAGGCTGCCCTTGGAACTCACTGTGTAGCCCAGGCTGGCTTTGAACACACAGCAATCCTGCCTCAGCCTCCCAAGTGCTGGTATTTACAGGCGTGTGCCCTTACACCTGGCTCCAAAATTGTACATTGTGGGCCTAATAATTTTTAGAATGATGCCTAAGAATCATGAGCGCAGTATTTATTGCCTACTTAATTCTGTAAAATGGCTTATAAGTGTTAGTCTTTCTTATGCCCTCGTTCATCAGTTGTATATGTCTGTTCATTTATTATAGCTTAAGTGTCCTTTAGAAATGATCTGTATTTTTCTGTCATTGCTGATAAAACCTTCAATTATGGTGTGAGCTCTGAAAAACCACATTTGAAAGCAAGGGACCTAGGGAGCTTTCAACACTACTTCCTGGAAGCCTTTAGTGTCAGTTGGGCTGGCCAGAGCCTCATTTCTACACACCCTGTGCAGCATTTCCTTGGGACCTGGGCTGCCAGACCTTGTGCTTTTGAGGGTGTGAGGTTGCGGAAGTGACCTCTAGTGGCTGCATGGAAGGAGACCCTCTGCTGGCATCTGAGTTCCGCCAGCTGCAGTCCCAAACCCAGGCATCAGAGAGTTGTTCTTCCTCCTGCCCAGTGGTTAGTGACTCCATGTGTTCCAGCTGTGTCAACTCTGGTTTGGTTTGGTTTTTCCACTGTGCAGTTCAGGCTGATCTCAGGCTCACTTTGTAGCCTATGTTGGTCTTGAGCTTACAGTGATCCTTCTGCTCCACAGTGTTGGGATTACAAGTGTGGGCCACCAGGCCTGGCTAAATTAGTAAAATTTTTAAAAGGTCACAATTTTTTTCCTTTGTTGTACTAAGGCTCAAACTCTACCACACACTTGGCAGGCAGGGGCTTATGCCACTGAGCTAAATCCCCAGCGCAAGCTCAATTTTTTAAATGGTTTTGTGTTACTGAATTGTCTTTAAAAACCATGCACTACATTTTAAAAAGTGTAGAATGGTCTCTAGTCGTGTAACATTTTATACTCGCGCACAGCCTTCACAGTGAGGATGCTTCTGTCACCAGGGAAATCTTGAAAAGGCCTGGAGTTGCCTGAAGTGGCTCACTCTGCCCCTTGAGGCAGCCGGGACTTGCCGAGCAGTCTTCGTGCTGAGTTACTGGCCTGTTTTAAAGCACGGCATGCTGAAAAGGGGTTCACCCCATGGCCAAGCTTCCCTGGCCCAGGCTCCAGAATCTGAAAGTCTCTGTTCTCCCCTGCAGCTCCGGGCCTGGACTGTGCCATGCCTCTGGCGAATGGTGAGGCGGAAGACGAGGCGGACAGCATGCACGTTGATAGAGAGTTTGCTGCCGTAACAGGTGGGAGTGGACAGTTTCCTGTTGGCTGCAACAGCCCCATGCTGGAAGACACCAAGCCACAGGACAGTGGCTCTGTTGGACCGAAAGAAATAGAGATATATACTGTTTCCGCAATGCAGACCCCTTGTCGTTGCAAGAATCAGTATGCATATTATTTCTAACATGCCTCCTCCTCGAGATGTTTTGCACTTTGTTGTCCACTGTGTTTTTAAAATGTTGCATTATGATATGTGCTCTTGGGACCAGTGTAGGGAGATGTGTTCCCGGGGCGTGCTCCGTGTCAGAGAGATGCAGGCTTCCAGTTTTGCTTTGGCTTTTGCTGACTGTGCCTTACTTGCTTTGAACAAGGTTTGCATTTTTAATGTTGTGACATGAACTGGGGGTGCACATACCTACCCAACCTGCTATTGCTTGTGTTTTCAAGGTAGGAAACGGAAAGGAGGACGGTTGGGAGCAAACCTTGAGAAACTGGTAAATACTGTGGCCCTGGCTGTCACCCCTAACACGACAGGTGCTCTGGTCCTGCCCTAAAGGCTGCAGTGTCTGGCATCCCCCTGGCGCTGTACCTGCTGGCGGGCTGGGGGTGCTCCCGGTTAACCCCATGTTTCTAGCCTCAGAGGGCAGAAGCTCAGTTTCTCCCAGCATTTAGAGTGGTGGTGGCGACACATGCCATACCAAGGATACCTAAGCGGTCACCTGCTGTGCAATCTAAAGGTTAATTACCCTGCTGGTATTTTTCTGCCATTCTTGTATCCTGTGACCACAGAAACATTGTAGCCTTTTCCTTAATGTGTTAATATGTTTAGATATTCTCAGTTTTTACTAGTTTCATTATGTATTTAAGATAAATTCTTCACTGGCTCAGTGAATGCATTTGTTTTTGGAAACCCGTAAGAAAATACCATTTTTGTTCCCATTAGAAAATGCATACATCTTCCCACAGGCATCAGGACTGCTATGGGTAGTGTCACTATTGTGGCAAATAATTTTAAAAATCTGAAATTGACCTTCTTTTCCACGAGCACTGCTGATCAGAGTTTTGTTTTTCTTTTTTTGAGGGCGTTTCAGACAGATCTTGCTACATAGAGGAGGCAGGCCTTGAACTGTGTAGCCCAGGCTTAAACTTGTGGCAGTCCTGCCTCAGCCTCCCCAGTGCTGGGATTGCAGGTGTGCACCCTGCACCCAGTGAGAGCACATTGTAAATGACAAGTGTTTTTGTACTGGGGTATTATGACCTTGGCAGAGGTGAGAATGCTCAAAGCTGCTCTCTAGGAAAACAGCTTTGCCTCAGGCCCTGTTGCACCTAGGAAGGAGGTGCTCTGTACCAGCCTCTAGGTGGGGACTCTGCTCCCAAGGAGTACCCCAGAAGTCAGGCTGCTGTACTCCACACGCTTCCCATCTACCCCTGGAGTTGTTCTCTGTTGGACTGGCAACATGTTTGGGGATGCTTTGTTTTTGAGAAGCTGTCAAAAGTATGGCTTTTTGTCCCTGGCCTGGAGTCCTGGCCTCAGGCAGATGCACAAGAGCAGCAGCCCCCTTCCTCACGCCAGTGGCCTCTGGGAGTGGGCAGCACCTGCCTCAGGCTGCTCACTGGCCGTGGCACCATAGGCAGCTGGGCCCTGGGCGGGCAAGAAGGGAGGCTGAGAGGTGGCGAGGGGAGCCTGGTTTCTGTGCCCAGTTTGTTAGATTTTCCAGGGCAGGGTAAAGTTGAGTTACCCCGATTCTAAGATTAAATGCTGAGACCAGTTACTTTAGATAGTGATAGAAAAATGACTTCATTCCGTGGAAACTGACACATATTAAGTGGGATTAATGCGGTTTATTCCCTAGGAAAGGTGGTTCAGTTATTTCTTAGGTACGGATTTCCCCGGGAATAGCTTTTTTGTTCTGTTTTGGTTTTGGATCTTTGAGACACGGTCTCTGTGCAGTCAAAGGTTGTGGTCATTGTGTAGGGGAGGCTGGTCTCAAAACTAGTGATCCTCCTGCCTCAGCCTCCCAGGTGCTCGGCTCACAGGTGTGTGTCACCATGCCCAGCAAACTGAACTTACATTTAGTTCTTGAGACTTTTTCTCTAATCTTGAGTTTAACTCAATGCAAAACCCATCATTTCCCATCATTTACTTGGAAAAAAGTAATTATTGGAAGAATTTATAACATTTCAGTTATTTTTCCTTTTTTTTGGTACTGGGGATCAAACTCACTGCCTTGCGCTTGCCAAGCAGGTGCTTACACCACTGAGCTAAATCCCCGTCCCTGTAGCACGTTCTGAATTACACTTATATTGCCAAAAAAATGCCATGGAGTATTTGCAATTTCTGGAACAGCCAGGATCCATTCTTGGGAGTAAGACTATCTCGGTTCCCCAGCTAGTGAGAAGGAAAAGGCCTCTGTGGAGTTGCATGTGTGTTGCAGAGGTGTTAGGCTTCCCAACTCTAAGTGTTAGGAGAACTGAGCTCGAGTTTAATGCAGTGCGTCGCTTGGATTGCGCAGAGCTTCGGGGTAAAATGTAACATCACTGAGCGAAAATTGGTTCTCGTCCATCTGCGCTGCTGCTCAGTGTGACACAGGAGGAGAAGTGGGCTGTCTGTCCAGCACGCCCCATGCCTGCAGACTGGACTCTGCATTTCCAGCATGCCCAGCTGGCTGCCCACTGAAGGGTGCGGTGAGAGACAAGCCGCTGCTGGCGCAGGCCGGGCCTCTCAGGGTTCTGTTTGGACACAGCAGGAAGCGGGGTGCTGAGCGGGGCTTCCTGATTCTACACAGAGCCTTTTCTTTCAGTGCTAGAGACGTTTTCTGGTTTTTAACTGTGTAGAACACATGACCTGCAGGTGTGGCCCATGTCTTCAGGGTGATTTTTCAGACCTGTCTTGGAAAGAAACCCTAAAAGGAGGACAGGTTTTCGGTGACCTTTCCATATTGTTGGTATTTCCCACGTGGTGGATGTATCTGTCACGGGCTTGGATCTTTAACCTTGATCACTTACCACTACTGAAATGCATGCATTTTCCTGTTGTACCGGGCACATACTGTTGTTTATTTGTAAACCTATCTATACTTTTAAAAAAAAAAACTTTGGAAAAGGAATTGGTTTGTTCAAAGCAAAATAACAGAAAAGAGCCCCATCCGTAGAGTGCTTGGCAGCGTGACGGGTTGTGTGGATCCGGTGGGTGCTGAGCTTTGGTGACAGGTGTATTTCTTGATGCAGATGTGAGAAACAGTAGCACCGTGTCGAGCACACTGACCAATGGCGGTGTCGGCAATGGACATTTGGACTTCCCCTGCACAAGCCACCTCAATGGGACGGACAGCAGGAGCGGCCTGGGCGCCCACGGGCTCAGCAGCGGAGCGGTGCCCGGGCGGCTGCTCCCCAGCGGCCAGGGAGCTGTGTGTGCTAACCGGGCGGAGGAGCCCGAGAAGACCCCGCATGCCAGCCCCGAGATGTGTGGCGCCCTGCACCTGAACGGGAGCCCGAGCAGCTGCGTGGCCAGCAGGCCGTGCTGGGTGGAGGACCCGGACCTCGCCGAGAGCCTGCACTACGGCTACTACCACGGCTTCGGGGACACGGCCGAGAGCCTCCCGGAGCTGAGCAGCATGCTGGAGCACTCGAGCTGCGTGCAAGTGGAGCGGCGCTACGCCAGCGCCGTACTGGGCGCCTTGCAGCTGCACCCTGGCTCGTGAGGCGCGGCCGCCACCCTTTTATACCACACTTTCGGGTTCCGTTTTTCTGACGCCTAACTTGGTGTATTTTTAGATACGATCACCAAAAATAGCCCCTTTTCTTTCACGTGTTGAATTGTATGAAGCTGAGGAGCCGGACTGGCTCGGCCTCTCCCTGGATGGGTGCTGCCCCGCCAAGCCGCATGGTGGCGCTGTGGAGACACCGGCTCCAGCTTCGGGCCCCACCACCCAGCGTGTCCGCCCCACGTTTCCTACCCATACTAGAACTGTTACCACAGATAACGGTTTCCTTCCCTGTGTAGTGGAGGGTAGTATTTGTAGGAAGTGCCAGGTTAAAATATTTTAACTATTTTGACATTTCCCTCCCCCCCCCCCCCTTTTTTTTTTTGCGGTTTTCTGCTTTAAAATATATACCACTATATATATCCAGTTAACAGAATTTTTAATCTGGAACCAAATAGCATTACGTTCATGGTTTTATAGAAATTAGTTTTTGTTTAGCAACTAGTGATTTCACTGTGCAAATATTGTAATGCATTTTTACTTTTCTGATTTTTGTAATAACACTCGGTACCGATGGAGAAAATGTCACAGATGCAAAGCTGTGTCCTGAGCGTGTCCTCACAGTGCATTTTCAGCTGTTCTTCACAGAGGAATAAAAGCCTGCAGTCTGCTGTGTGGAGTGGCTTCTGTGTGGGGCTGGGGGTGGGGTTGGGGCCAGCATGACAGCTGGTAGCCAAACAACCCAGGAAGCTGCCATGGCCCCTGCTAGTGGTAAAGCTGTAGGAACCTTTAAGCAGTGAGCTGTGGTTAGGAGGTGGCAACAGCCCACCCTTCTGCCTGGTCAGCCAGTCTCAGCCCCAGACCAGCCCAGCCCAGGGAGCGTCTGGTCCCACGGGGATGCACAGCTGTGGCTGCCTTGTGCATCACTCATACTTGAGGCCCATGTTGGACACCAGGGACAGTTGCTACTGGACAGGTCCAGGTGTGGGTAGGCGGGGAAGACCCACCCTGCATAGATTGCTCTTGGTGGTATCTGAGACTCTTGGGGTAGCTGAGGCCTGTGGGGAATAGGGAGTGGGGCTCTTACTATAGTGCAGTGAAGAGGGAATGAGTGAGCAGTGTGGGGCCCTTAAGGTACAGCAGCTTCTAGGTTCTGCATGGGGCAGAGTTTGCCCTTCTGCCCACCCAGGGGTGTTGCAGAACCGAGCCGAGTCTCACCAGCAGACATATACAGCAGCGGGGAGAAGTGACTGTGATGCTCGTTGTCCTCCAATCTACAGTCCACACAAGCAGCAGGTGCGGTTTGGGAGCACTGGAAGGAGGGCGCGTGGGTCTGCCTGGTAGGCACTGGTGTGGTCCATTGGTGCATAGGCGTCCTGAGTTTGTGTCCTGTGTACCTAGAGCACAGAAGGAGGAGCAGAGTGGGTTCAGAGTGGTGCCAAGGTCCTGCAGTCTCTGGGAGTGTACTGTAGAGGGTGCTAGAGACTTGCACCCTTCACAAAGCATTCCTGAGGGAAGGTGGCAGGCCCACGTTACCAGGGTTTGCAGTTTGGCCTCAGTGTTCAGGCGTTTCTTGAAGCCTGGTTGTAGTGCTGGGTGAGACGCCACACTACTGAGCTGATTGCCTCAGGTGGTACTGAAGTCACAGGCATTTCATCAGCCCATGCCAGTTGTGGGCCGTGGGCAGCCCATCGTGGAGCTCTGTGCCAGGGCCGTGGATGGGCTCATGAGTCACAGGTGGGGAGGTCTAGGCCTATGCCAGGGAATCTGGGTTTTGTGCAGTGTAAACCTTGCTTTCCAGAAGGCTCAGTTTGTCACTGGCCACACTGTTGGGGTTCACCTCAACGTGTGGCAGCCTCACTTGGTTCATGTTGTGTTTTGTTTTGTACCAGGAATGTAACTCAGGACCTTGGGCTTGCCAGGCAGACGCTTGTGCTGCTGACCTAAATCCCTGGCCGCCTTGGTCATTGTTTTAAAGTGCTGTCTGCCAAATGCCCAGGTCTTACCAGCCATCCCTTGATAAATGTGCTTCCTGGGAGCCCCAGCAGGTCTTCTTTGACCGCAGGCAGGCAGGCAGGCAGGCAGGCAGGCAGGGCGGGCTTTCCTTGGAGGGCCCTTCGCCCTGGAGTGCGGGTCAATACAGTCTCACATGTGCAGTGACATGCTCCATTGTTGCTGCATCTGGAGGCTTCTGGGCTTTAACACTCGGGGAAAGGAATGACCAGAACAGTGTGCTGCCAAGGCACTGCAGTTCTGTCCCTGGGCCCTGCTCAGAGAGCCCCAAGGACATGCGTTGCCCAGGATGGGGGCTGGGAGGCCACCGTTGAACCCCTGAGAGTGGCCCTGGTGTTGGCAGGAAGGTTTGGAGGGTGTTTAACCCGCCCAGTTCCACAGTGAGCTCTGCAAGGTGAGCGGGTCCAGGCTGCCCTGAGCCCCACTGAGACAAGGACACTGATCTAGAGGGGGCAGCTCGAGTCACAGGCGGGGAGGGTTGCACAGGTGCAAGGGCCATGTACACCCAGGTGGGCCACTCTGGCAAAGGCTCTCTGCCCAGTGAGAGGCCAGGCCTGGGGGTATCCCCAGTGGCCGGCTGTGGAGAGGAGCTGGCACCGCAGGGATGGAGGCAGTGGAACTTCGGGCATCCAAACAGGATGCCTGGCAATTTGTACCCTGTCTACACCACCAGGCTGGGTTTGGCACAGTACGGGCAACAGTGACAAGGACCAGGCCGCTGAACAGTACAGCCCACCCTGTGGGCCATGATCACAGTTGTAGGGGACACGTGGACCTGAGCTCTGCCAGGAGGGGGTGGGGAGTATACAGAGGCAGGGTCCAGCAAGAGCCTAGGTGCCAGCTCCTCGCTGTGCTGGCAGCTCAGAAGCAGGTGCTTGGCCACTCGGCGCTCTCAGGCTCAGCGTCACTGCTATCTCTTAGTATGGCCCCCCATGTTCTGAATGCCCACAGCCACCTGTACCTCACAGGATGCTCTTGGCCCAGCTGTCCTAGTCCCAGCCCAAGATCCATCGTGTGTGCTTGGTCTTGGGCAGGGCTGCATAAGCCACCCCTTAAGCCACCTTGGGGGGGTGAGAATATGTCCTTCCTCTACCCATGGATCAGTGTTGCTGCACTCTGAATTCCCAAGCCTCAGCTCCCGCCCCGCATGGACCTTGTAACCCCTTCCAAAGCCAGCAGCCACTGAAGTCACCTTGCCAGGGTGTCCAAAGGCAGCCAGGCCAACCTTGTGTCTGAATCACACCTGCACCAAGAGGCTGCTGTGCCGGGGAGTGGTCACCTGAGGAGTGGCCACTAAGGGTAACTCCCGCCTAGTCAGGCCAGGGAGTGAGCTTAGTGGCTCCAGGCATCGAGGCCTCTGCTCTGCAGGCTGGCACCCAGTGATAGCATTGTATTACTCAACTGTTTTGTGAAGCTAATGGTCAGGAGAGGAGAGGTGGGAGTTTTGGGGTCAGTACTTGGTGCCACTGGCAGGTGCCCTGACCCCAGTTCCCCACCAGCCACATCCTCCCAGTGCCAGGAGGGAGCTTTCGTTCCCAGCGCCTGCTGCCTCTGCTTCTCAGACAAAATTCAGGACAATCGAAACCAGTTTTGCAAGCAAAACAACATGAGCCTCTGCATCACACAGCCCGCTCAGAGGGATGGCAGCTACGTGAAGAAGGCAGCAAACCATGGCCCTTCCAGCTGGCCTGCTCCATGGGCAGTGCAGTGGCTGCAGAAGGGGCACTGTGCCCTTCCCTCGTGGCTACAGCCAGCATCTTTGGGGGGTCACCCCACACTGTGCCCTGGTCTGAGGTTGAGGGCATGCAGGAAGGCATGGGGCCAGCCGCTGTTGGGAAAGGAACCGCAGTCCATCCCAGGTACCATGGGTCGCCTCCCTTTTGCCACCAAAACAGCCAGCATAAACAGTGCAGGAGCAGAAAAGTTGGTTCACACCGACACTTGGTCCTGACCTCCAGAGCCACTGTGTCCTGTCCCACAAGTGTCAGGAGCCACTGAGCTAGTGATCATTCACAAGTGCCCAAACAGGAGCACCCTAAGGGCACAGGGTGCTGAGGGGAGCAGGTGTCCAGCCGTAAGAACAAGGGGTAGAAGAAGCCAGCTGGGTGAGTAGAGGGGATGGTGTGGCACTGCAGTGATGGAGCGGTCCCTTCCAGCTAGAGAAGGCTGCCCCTGACCCCGGCTTTCTGGGTCTTTTATTTTCTTCATCTTATTATTCTTCCCCCAGGAACTGCCACCAACACATGAGGACAGGTCACATCCCAAGTAGGTGATCTGGCCCACAGACCAGTCCATGGGTTTTGTCTGGAGAGAGAATGGGGATGGGGGGGCAGGGCAAGAGGAAAGAGAGATGGAAACAAGATGAGATTCCAATCAAGTCTCGTTTATTCAGGAAGTGTACATGGCTTATATAAAGTCCAAGGGAATGTGACTTTATAGGATAGGTCCTATAGATCCTTTAGATCTCCTCGTATGACATGGACTTATCAGATTAGCAGGAAACCATGCGTAGGCAACTAGGTTAAGTGGAAGTAAAAGTATGTGAGCAGGAGAGAATTATGGGTAATGTAGACAGATGTGAAGATCATGGGAAATGTAGGAGGACACGTCAGAGGCCCACAGGAGGGCGAGATAAGGTGGCAGCAGTGAGATATGCCGCTTCCTACAGGTAGGAATACAATTTCATGGCAGAGCAACTGAGGCCCAGATTGGTTCAGGCAACATGACCAAGTGTGACAGACCGAGGGACACCAGTGTGTCCCTCCAGGGCCCCTGGGCAGGCAGGGCCACCATCACACCCGAGCCTGGTACAGGGAGGAGTACAGGTTGAGGTCAGGCCCGAGAGCTGGAACCACTTGTGTACAGATGGATGGGTGGTAACAGGCGAGGGGTGCTGTGGTCAGTTTTGGTCCACAGCAGGTCCCTCCTAGGGGAACTTGGGTTCCCCAGCAGCTGCTAGTCCTGTTTCAGGATGTTCATTTCCTCTGGGCTCTGGTTCATTGACATTCCCCAGCAGGGAAGGGGCATGACTGTGCCCTGCGTGGGATCCAGGTCACAAAATGAGTGCTGGGAGAAAGCTCACCTTGGGAAGCTAAAACAGGAAGATCCTCACATGGGGCTGGAGGAAGGGCCAGGACTTCTCAAGATTGTCGATGTGTAGAAGTCAGTTAGGTGGTCTGGTTGCAGGTGTGGTGGCACATGCCCTTTACCTCAGCATTTATCAGCACATGGGAGACCGAGGCAGGAAGATCCCAGTTCAAGACCAGCCTGGACCACAGATCAAAAAGGTCTCAGCATCCATGGTCACACAGTCCAGGAACTGGGGCACACACATGCCCAGTGGCCATCATGCTGGCTTTGTCCTACAGACCGGGGAATGTGGCGGGGCCATCTGCCAGGCAAGGCTGCAGCCAGACCAGGTAGTAGCTGTCAGGTGTCAGGTGGAGCTGGTCCCTCCCATCACAGTCTGTAACGACTCCACTCAGGGCATAGAGCAGAGAAGGTGGGAGTCACAGTGACTTCTGCTGTGTCAATGCCGTCAGTCCAGGGCTCCCTCGGTGTCACCGCTCTGAGCCTGGGAGCCCAGGTTCTGCCCACCCTGCTAGTGCCCGTGGCCAAGATGGTGGCTGAGCACAGCAGGGAGACAGCAGCTGGTGGC